CACAGGGCTCCCCCATAAAACTTTCTTAAAAGAAAAATCACGGGGGGGAAGGGGGGGTAATATATCTAATAAAAAACTTACAGGTCCTTTTTGGTTCCTGGTTCTTCGGTTTCTTTGCCCTCCCCTATTCCTAACCCAACCCCCCCCCCCCCTTCCCTCCCCGCCTCCACCAAAACCAAACTCTATTTGCAAAAAACAGAAACCCCCCCAAGGAAAAAAGAAAGCCTACCCCCAAGGCCCCCTACTCCCCCTTCAACCGCCCCGCATCCCGACGCTCCAAGCGCTCATTCCCCTTTTGCGTGAAGAAGCGACGTTCCACCAACTTGAGGACCTCGTCAATGATACTGTTGATTCTCACGTTAGCATTTTAAATCTCCTTGATAAAAAAAAAGCCCAACAACAACAACAACAAAAGAGAAAAAAAACTCACATAATCGGCCCACTAATCGCCAAAACCGCCTTCCACTCACCCCAACCCAACGGCACCACACTAAACAGGCCCTGCAGGACCGGAACATAGAGGAGTGCAAAATGCAGCGCCATGCTCAGCATAATCGCATACACGAGCATCATATTCCGCCACAGCGGCAGCGTCAACAAACTCTCGCTCGAACTGAGCGCATTCATCGCATTCAGCATCTCAATCACAACCAGGATACTCAGGCTGACCGTCGACGCCGCCTGCGCGGCCGCATTGGAAAACATGTCGCATCCGATTTCGGGGAAGGCGGTGGAGCAGCGGTGGAAGTGGCGGAGCTGGTAAAACGAGATTTGCGGGCCGGCCGGGTTGGCGAGGAACCACCAGGCGTAGCCGCCGACGGTGGCGGCGCCGACGTAGGTGCCAATGACCATGTAGCGGAAAAAGAGCCAGCCGCTGATGAGGGGCTCGTCGCGCTTGCGGGGCTGGCGGCGCATGATGTCGTGGTCGGCGGGGTTGAAGGAGAGGGCGGTGGCGGGGAGGCCGTCGGTCACGAGGTTGACCCAGAGGAGTTGGACGGGGATGAGGGCCTCGGGCATGCCCATGGCCGCGGTGAGGAAGATGGAGACGACTTCGCCAATGTTGGAGGAGATGAGGTACCGGATGAATTGCTGCGTGTTGTTATAAATCGAACGCCCCTCTTCCACTGCGCCTTCAATCGTGGCAAAGTTGTCGTCGACGAGCACCATGTCGGCCGCCAGCTTGGCCACGTCGGTTCCAGATCCCATGGCCACGCCAATGTCGGCTTTCTTGAGCGCAGGCGCGTCGTTGACGCCATCGCCAGTCATGGCCACCACTTCGCCAGCTTGTTGGAGAAGGTCGACGAGCTTGGACTTGTGCGTGGGCTCGGTGCGGGAGAAGAGGGAGGCGTGTTTTGCCGCGTGCATCTTCTCAGCGTCACTCAGGTCGTCAAACTGGCGGCCAGTGTACGACTTGCCCGTGAGGTCTTCGTTGGGGCCAAAGACACCAATCGAGCGGCAAATCGCTTCGGCCGTGTTCTGGTTGTCGCCCGTAATGACCACGACGCGGATACCTGCTGAGCGACATTTCGCAATCGAGTCACGGACTTCAGGACGAGGGGGATCCATCATGGCGACTAGACCGACAAGCGTCATGTTCTGCTCCAGTTGCGAATATTCCTGCGTCGTCTTGGCTTTGCCGAGAAGAGGATGCGAGGCAATGTCGTCGACGAATGCAGTAGCAATGACGCGAAGACCCTGGTTACCATACTCGACAATCTCCTTGTTGATGAGACCGGCGAGCTGCTTGTTCAGCGGTACCTTGTTGCCATTCTTGCCAACAACGACGTTTGTGCAGCGCTCGAGAATGGCCTCGGGCGCACCCTTGACCAGAAGCCTCTGCGTGTTGCCGCTCTGGACCAGGACAGACATGCTCTTGCGGTCGCGCGAGAACTCATAAGTAGCCAGGCGTTCATTTTGACGGCTGTAGTGCTTGGTAGCAAAGTCCCGACGCTCCTCGGGCGAGGTACTGGCGCGGCTTGCGTTGACGCTGAGGTCAGGAGTGCCGACCTTCTCGACCAGAACGCGGAGCGCGCCCTCGGTCGGCTCACCAATGAGATTGTAGGTGCCATTCTTCGAGTCGTATTCCAAAGCCGCGTCGTTGCACAGGGCCGTGACCTCGCAAATCTGACGCACGGTGTCCGACTGGGCAGCCAGATTCTCCACCGCCTTGCCCCGCAGCGTAATCTGGCCCTCGGGCGCAAAGCTAGTACCGGCGACATCAAACTCCTCGAGACCCTTGCCGTCCTCGCTGATGAAGACCATCTTGTTGACGCTCATCTGATTGGTAGTCAGAGTACCCGTCTTGTCCGAGCAGATGACGCTGCAGCTTCCCAGCGTCTCCACCGAAGGCAGACTGCGCACAACCGCGTTTCTCGCCGCCATCTTGCGCGTGCCCAGAGCCAAACAGGTGGTAATGACGACGGCCAAACCTTCTGGAATGGCCGCGACACCGAGAGAGACGGCGATTTTAAGGTAGTAAATGGCGCCCTTGGCGAAGCCTCCATGCGAGGGGTCGCTGAAGTTGCGCACGTTGATGAGCCAGACGAGGATGCAGATGGCGGTGATGACCTTGGCCAGCTGATCACCAAAGTCATTCAGCTTCTCCTTGAGCGGCGTCGGCTGCGAGATCTGAGCGGTGATGCTTTCATGGATATCTCCAATGGCGGTATTTCCACCCGTCAAGACGACAAGGGCAGTCGCGTGGCCCGTCACCACCGTGGTACCCGAGAACAACATGTTGATCTGATCCTGCTTGACAGCGCTTTCATCCTTGACCACACGCGTATCCTTGGGTACACTCTCGCTCTCGCCCGTCAAGATGGACTGGTCCACATTGAAGCTGTTGCTGTGGATGGACAGAATCCTGCAGTCTGCGGGTATCCTGTCGCCAATCGTGACGGAAATGACATCGCCAGGAACCAGCTCGTCCGCCTTGACGCGGGCAATGTGACCGTCGCGTACGACTTTTGCTTCGTTGGCCGAGTATTCTTGGAGGGCGGCAATCGCCTTTTCCGCGCTCGTTTCTTGCGAGACACCGACGACGGCGTTGAGGACGAGGATGGTGAGAATCTGGGTAGGGGGACCGAATTTTGTTAGCCGGGGTTTCTTTTCGCAGGGAAAAGATACTGGGGGGGGAATCAAGGGCCACGTACGACTGCTGGATCTACAAAGGCCGTCCAGCCCTCTTCCCGATCAAACAGGGCGAGGACGAAGGATACGGCGGCAGAGCCTAGTAGGATGATGACGAGCTGGTCCTTGAACTGCTCGAGAATGAGCTCCCACACGGGCGTGGGCGGGTCTTCTGGCAACGCTGTATCCTTGGGTTAGTACAACCAGGCTCTTTCCCACCATGACCGATCAGTCTCTCGCATAGAGACGATGTTGACAACGTACAATTCCTGCCATGCTTCTCCCGCAAGCTGCGCACCTGCTGCTCCGACAGCCCGCTGTCCTCGGAGACCTGGAACTGGCTCAGCGCCTCCGCAGGCGTCTTTGTGAAGGCATTCTCCATGCTCTTTTACTCCTACAAGCACTGCGCCTTCGCGTCGTCCAAGACTCTCTCTCAAGCGATGATGCTGTGGCGCTGGGAATGGTTCCGTGTACCGTGGGTGGGTGTGGGTGTGGATGTGCGTGTGCGTGTGTGGGTGTGGGTGTGGGTGTGGATGTGCGTGTGTGGTGATGCAAGATGCGAGTTTGTAGAATCTAGTCAAGTCTAGGGCGCGTTGAAACTCTCGAGGTTCCCGCCCAAAAAAAATTTAAAAAGAGGCTGGGCGCTCGGTGGTGATGGATGACGGCGTGTATAATGTACAAGACAAAGACAAACAGTAGATTGTTGATGCACACAGCAATACAGTGGTAGTCCTACCCAATCCCCCCAAAAAAAAATCCCCCACTTCACGATTGCGAAAAGATGCTAATCGTATACGTGTCCCCTTGGTCACCGAGAGCAAAAAAAAAGCCAAGGTCGATGGTGGACTAGCTTTGAGGTGTGCAGCAGATGAACCAGGCCCGAGAATGTTCTAGAGAAAAAGGGAAAGGTGGCAGAAACGGGTGTTGCATGTCCACGGCCATGGGCGGCGGGCTCCAAGTTGGGTTTTTGCTTCTAGATTTGCGTGGCCAAAGAGACAAATGTGTCCTCTCTGTCCTCTGGCCTCTGCCTTGTTGTCCGTTCCAGTCGCACTAGTACTAGAGCAATGTAGCGTACCATGGCCAAGCCCACAGGAAGCCCACGACCAGAAGCACCCGTTTCGCTTCCCTCCTCACTGGAAACGGAGACGATGACACGCTGGGTCTCTTGTGGACTCTCATTCGCAGACAATTGTATGCATAAGTAGTATTCCATCCGATCCATCCTACCGACTAAACCACGAGTGCAGACACCACAACACAACCACAGCCATCTTCTACTGGTAATCCACCTACCCATCCCACCCCATCCATCATCCATCCATCCATCCATTCATTCATTCATTCATTCATTCATTCATTCATCCATCCATCCATCCATCCATCATCCATCATCCATCCATCATCCATCCATCCATCCATCCCATCATCCTCCCCCCGCGCTAAGCAGCACAGTCTCCCCAACCTCGACTGCCGCGTTCCGAGCTCGGAAGTTCCGAGTTCCTGTCTCGCTTCGCTTCGCATTTCACACTAGCCTTTTGCAGCTTTGCCCCTTGCCCCGCCCCACGCTCCATGCCATCATCACCGCGCGTTCCATCTAAGACGCCACAATTTCACTACTACTACTGCTGCTGCTGCTGCGGCTCTATCATGCGAGGTAGCCACATGTGCGGGTCCGAGTCCATGGAGCCAGGCTTCAGAGCGGCGGTCTTGCATGAAGAAAAGTATGTCACGCACCGAGACGGATAGGATGACTGCAAACACCAGTACTAGTATAGTACTACACTGCTTCTACTACTACACACTGCGATCTGCTATACAGTCATCATCACTCGCAGTCCATCGGGTTACTATTAATTACTACACGTCGTAACAACTACCCGTTGCTATACGCTGTCCCCTACCACTGACCCCATTCTACTGCTGCTTCTTGTTCCCACCACATGTCTCATCCAGCCTTGTCCCCATGACCAGGAAACCAACAACAGAAGTGAAGAAAAAAAATCCAGGGGTATTGAATGTGTGGTCCAGCTCGGTGGCCACAAAGATCCCCGTCCACCTTGAAAACGCCAGGAAGCGAGGTGATATCCGTTTTCGCCATATGCAATGCTATCGTAATCATAAACAGGTTGTGATTGGTCGTGTTGCTGGTGGTTCGTGTACCAACGAATCCTCCTGTAGCCACCATCTTGCTCACTTGGCCGCTCCCCATGACCTTTGCCTCTTCCATCAAGTGTTGCTTGTGCCATACGTCCGAATCAACCTCGCAATGTCTCTTGCGACAAAGGGCTTGGTCAGGAAGCCCTTCATCCCGCTTTGCACCGCCTTGGTGAGCGCCGCGTCCGTAATGTCTGCGCTGACCGCCAGTATCGTCGGTTTCCGGATGAGTTCGTCCATGCCCAAGATGACCTCGGTGGCTTGGAATCCGTCCAACAGTGGCATCCAGAGGTCCATCAGAATCATGTCAAACTGCGGAGCATCCAGCGCAAGGGCATTGTTGCGTACTGCCTCGACAGCATCGTTTCCATTATAAGCCGTCGTGATGTTCTTGTAGCCCAACCGCTTGAGCATGCTGACAAGCACACTACGGTTGATCCCGTTGTCATCCACCACCAGAATGGTAAGAGGTACTTGAGCGGCGAGATTGGGAGCACCCACGCCCCGTTCAGACGACAAAGCCCGAGGAGCCCGATGTCGAGGAGGGGACAAGGTGCGTCGTGGTGTCGGAAGTTGAATCTCCTCCGGTGGACTAGTCGTCTGAACTGTCATCGTGAGTCCCGAGTCGCCCTTGAACGAATCCGCAGTCAGCGGAGGCGTGGCTGGTGCGCGGTTGAGATCTAGCCGTGGCACCTCGCGTTCAATCGACATGCGCGACTTGATCGATGGCGTCGGCGATCCAAACGGTGTTGCTGGCCGACTGCAAATCTCTCCCGGGGCGAGAGGAACACGCATCTCAAACTCTGAGCCTCGACGCGGCCCAGACACGTGGGAACGCAGGCAGAAGAGATCGCCTCCAAGCTTGCGGGCGATACCTTTTGCAACCATCAGACCCAAGCCCAGACCCTCGCTCTGCCGCGTGAAGGAGTTGTCTTCTCGCGCAAAAGGCTTGAACAGATTGGGCAGGAAGGCAGCAGGGATCCCAGAGCCAGTATCCTTGATGTTGATAATAATGTAGCGACCTTTGGCACTGAGAGCTGCCTGCAGCGTGATCAATCCATCTTGGGTAAACTTGATAGCGTTGAGTGTCAGGCAGGAGACCATCTTGGCCAGATCCTTTTCGTCAATCAATATCGTCTCGGGTACATCGGAGGACACGGTCCATTCAATCCATTTCGTATGAACTTCGCCATTCGAGCTCCGTGATCGTACCTCGATCCGCTCTCCAGTCTCTGTGGCCTCGGCCACGGCAGAATCTGGTCGACCCCCCACTTTTAATGCATCATTGATGACATACTGCAGAACTTCCCTCAAGTTGGTATGCCGGAGACCGGGGACCTTGGAATGCTCAGAAGCAAACATGGGTGACGTTGTCGAATCACACTTGCCAAACGACGTGTTATGTGAGCAGGTGCTGTCAAGCATATCCGCCATGCTGGTGTCTGGAGGACAGGACACTGCCATCCGCACAGGAGGCTCCTCAGAGAAAGAGTCACGGACTCGCTGTCGAACAGGTCGCACCACACGTGTCTTGACTCTATGATCGCCCCATGACGGCTCATCTCTTCGTCTTTTCAATCCACGATAGGGAGCACGCATGTCGTTTCCCGTAATCATGAGGTCTGGCCGCATCTCGCGCCAGAACGTGTTCCACTGGTCACCTGTCTGGTCCAGAGGGGAATTAGGCGTTTCTGGTAGACCCATATTCATGTCATAAGCATGGACGACATTGTCAGCAGCTTCCACTGCACGTCTGGAACTATCTGTCATGAAGTCAGTGTTACGCTCGCTTGGCCTCACCAGTTTTGTCCCAGCGAAGAGATGAATCCAACAAAAATGCAGCGCTTACCTTGAACGGCTTCGATATTTTCCTTGAGGGTTTCCAGGACTTCGCGTGTTCGTGGGTCGACCTGCAGTGTTTCGGACGCTTCCTTCAGATTCGCCATCATGACGTCGAGCATACCGACAACCCCCTGCATGGGCGTCCGCAGCTCGTGCGAAAGACTTCTGGCATAAGGCTTCAGCGACTGGGCTACAGAGACTGCTTCATGGGGTACAATCTTGGGCTGTGGCGTGAGAATGGGCTGTGCGGATTTGGCAAAGTCGGCTCCCTCCAGTACACGAGCTAGGATCAAGTCTTCGAGGCTGTGGAACATCATCTCTATGAAGGTCCAGCTCAGCACACGACGAGCAGCCCCCTCTGCACCCCACATGACGCCAAAGTGAGCAAAACATTTTCCTTCAGCAAACAAGGGGATTCCAAGATAGGCCTCTCCGGGGATGATCAGGTCGTTTGGATTGTCTAGGATGAAGTCGTTGAGTTTTTCTGGGATGACAAGAATCTTGTCATGCTTCATGTAGGCACAGGGACATTGGTAGGCGTGATATTTGAAGTTTCTCAGGTGGCCAGGACCATTGCCATGGTCATCGTTGATGTAGAAGGCCTCGCCCATGAGACAAGCTCCAGGCTCGCCAATGGGCGGTAGTTCGACGGCAACGTCTTTGTCGTCAACCAAGATCCTTTTCGAAACGAAGGCATACTGTGCATCGACGAGCGTTGCCAGGCCTTGGGTTAGTTGGGACCAGAAACTGTCGGTGTCGGCCTTGCGGAGGCGAGATTTCAGTTGGACGAGCTGTTCAGCAGCGTTGCTCTCGATTGGGTTGAAGACTCGCGACAGCTCTTCCCTGAAGCCCTCGACACCGTGCTGTACGACCATGCCTGGCATGGATTTGGACAGGCAGAGCGATTGGCGCTCGATTATATCAGGCGGGATGGCAGTAGTTTCGGTCATGATGCCACGATCCCATAGGGACTGTATGGGGGGAGTCGATGCCCAGGGTGGGGGTACCGAGGTGGTGGTTGTTAGTGGTCAAGATGGGAGGGGGAGAAAGTCCAAGGCCTGCTTCAACTTGAGTGTGCAGGCGGGCCAAAGCAAAAAAAAGCCGAGGTGGATGGCGACACACAGACTGCGGCGTATCGAGGCTTGGCAGACGGAGACGGTTACAAAGGTTGGACAGATCGCATGCGGAAGGGGGAGGGAGATGACGGATGGCGAGATGGAATCGCGAGGCAGATGGCAGGGTGAGGAATGCGTGTGGGTGATGGGTAGTGGGCAGCGGTGGGCAGCAGTGGGTAGAGAGGAATGTAAGAGGATTGAAGGACACAGGCGGCGATATGGTTGGTTTACCAGCGCAACCAACGGGGGTAGTAGTGGTGCGTGAGAGGCTGCGGCAGACTGCGCCCAGGGCGATCTAGAACAACCCGATGGTGTGGAGGCTTTTGCGTGTCCTGGGCTCCTGGACCTGGCACTCCCCCGAGCGTCCGCCCTATACATCCAGTGCGTGGGGCCAGGCCGCTGACATAGCACCTGGGCCTAGTAGTATGTAGGTAAGTAGGTAACTGAGAGTGTGTGTGTGTGTGTATGTAGAGTAGTAGTATGTATGTATGTACATGCTTGGGTTCGGTACTAGAACCAAAGCTGGCGAATGGTGGCAGCATGGCATGAGGCTGCGCACCATCGATGCAGGCAGACTGTACGTACACATGTACATGGACCTTGGACGATGCTTGTGTGTGTGTGAGCGAGTGAGTGAATGAGTGAGTGAGTGTGTGTGTGAGCGAGTGAGTGAATGAGTGAGTGAGTGTGTGTGTGTGTGTGTGTGTGTGTGTGTGTGTGTGTGATGAAAAGGGCCATGCGCGCCAGTTGGCCTGAGTCTCCTCTGAATCGTGTGGCCTTGTTTGTCTGGGTCGTCTTCGTGTTGCCTCTCTCCATCTCACTCACTCACTTGCCTAGTTACTCACTCACTCACGCTCATTCACCCACGCATTCGCTCACACCTGGTCCTGGTCTGTCTGCAGTTTGGAGGGGTTGGAGGGGTGGAGGGGTTGGAGGGGGTAACCGTGAGGGGGTGGTGGGAGGGGGATCGTTCGGTACACAGTTCGAAGTTAGCAACAGTGTCAACAAGTGGGCCGCGCTTGCTAGACCAGTCTAGACGCTCTCGGCTGGCCGGCTGCACCGTGCGCTCCTTTCTTCCCTTGCCTGCCCAGCTGCCTTGCCGCCCCCCGTCCCCACCACCCCCCAAAGCCTTGTCGCCCTCCACACTCTCTCTGCCACCCTCTACTCTACTCTTAAGACCATTGACTATGTACTAGGTAAGTAGCAACCTCTCAACACAGTACAGTACAGTACATACATAATACATGCATACATATACATACAAATATACATACAAATATACATACAACACAACATATCTTTCTACATCTACATCAGACCTACCTGCATGCATACATACTTACATTATGATACATAGGTACTACAATCCTACTCTACTCTACTTTACACACCATCTACTCCCGCGGTATATAGTCCTGACCCACACTCCACACCCACTCTAGGCGAACCCACGCCTGGGCCTGGGCAGTAGGCAAACAATACAAGTACATACTATGTACAGTTGACATGAGTAATCAGCCATGTACCCTAGTTCTGGACGTCTATCCTGGGTAGACACCGCTGCCTACCAGTACCTCTACTAGTACCCCCATGTGCCTAGGTGCCTTTTCCCCTTGCCATCATCGGCTCCCCCTTGTGCCTGGCAGCCTTCCGTTCCCCACAATGACGACGAAACCTTGATGAGAGATCGTGTTTTTTGCTCCATCCCACACTCGAGTGGGGAACCATACACTGCCCATCTACTTACTATAGTACCTACTTGTCTACATGCACGATACGCACAGTGCTGTGATCGCAGTACATCTTGCCAGCAGGCATGATCGTTGAATCGCGCCAGACCAGTAAACGCCATCAAGCACTCCAGAGTCCAAATAGGTGCACATGTATTGTGCTGTGTACACAGCCGCAACACCACATGCATGCCACCGGCGCAGAGCACACTCTCTACTTGGCTCGCGTCAGCCGCTGCAGCCCTGATTCCACATCTATAGACGCCCCTTCTGCGGCGTACTGAAGCCTGGCGTCTGGTGCAACAGCATGCAGCTGCGCTGAGTCGCTGACTACAGCACCACTGGCACACGCTCTCTTTCTCGATACAAAGCACCTCACGCTTCTAGTCGGATTTTTGTCCGGATCGACGATCTCGGGGCCAAGACGGAACGCACTGCTCGTTCGCTGCACGAATCTGAAACCATGTGTCGTTGGTTTCGGCCTCACTGCCTCAGATTACCCACCAGCTTCTCCGCCGTCCATGCTCACTCCCATTCATAGCACATTGCCATCATACATGTCTCTCCTGCCCATTCCGGAAGCCTGCTTACTATGGGCTACTTACCCATCCATAATCCACAATGCACACGTCTCCAACAGGCAGCATGTCCTCCTTCGGACGCTCACCTTTGTCTGCAGTCAGCGGCTCACAAGCCATGGATGTGTCATTAGCTTTGGAGTCTAGGCCCCAAAGTTTACTATGGTAAACATTGCTGGCCTCCGCCTGTTCTTATTCCCATGCCACTAGCAGTATATTCGCCCTGGTCCGGCGAATCACCCGCAGCCTTCCCGCCATCCCGTAGTCGAAAATGGCTTCGTTTTTGCTTTGTTGCTGGTTCGACAGCCCGCCGACGCTGAACAGTGTCAGGAGTGCAGAAGCTGTGGTAACGTTACATGGTGCTGGCCCCCAGTTGGCGCCTTGTGTTTGTACATAGGTACATAGTCTAAAGGCACCCCCGAAGCTGTCCGACCACTTCGAATACACTAATGACTTCAACCCTGCAGCAAAGTCGAGACTCTGATCGAAACTGCATCATCGCGCAAGATCGGTTTTGACTTCGTCCCTCGGACCAACTATGCACGTTGCACATGGTTGTTGCTAAGCCCGGGCTCTCTCGCGCATCGTAGGAAAAAGAAATGCAGAGATCACCATAATTTCCGCCCGTGTCCACTGGCCTCATCAGCCAGCTCGAATCTACCATTCTTCCTGCTGTGAGCCATATCGTGAATCGCCTGCCCATCAGCATCGCGCCAAGCATTGGCTACCAATCCCTAGCGCATGGCAACCCAAACTTCCGAGGCCATCTCCCGACCTTGTACAGATACCTACTGGCGCCCAGCTAAGTCCTCCATCGTCGTGTGTTCCATCGCAAGCAATGTACGCTGTACGGTACGCAATTTCGCAACAAGAGACACCTACCGCTCCAGTTCCGTCGCTCTTCGACCGCGGACGTGCACGAGTCACAACCCAGCATCTTTTGCGTCACGAGCTGCGTGATGCTGCATTTCTAACGAACAGACGGCACAGCACACCGCGATCACGACCCAGCTTCCCTATCTTGTTAAAACACCGACATGGAACCGATATATGCCGCCATCCGACCAGCACATGCCGATCGCTTGTCTGTCAGAAACGTGCTGTCCGCACATGGACATTGTCACCTGCGACTTGGGTGCAGTTTTGCAATCCTGGACTAGACAGTCTTCTAAGGAACCATGGTTCGTACGTCTGACAGCAATATGCACTATCCTAGAGTAATCTTGGCCCGGCTGTAACGACTGGTTAACAAATCCAGGTTCGGCCAGACCTCTTTTGCAACTTTGTACCTACCAGCACAAGCTCCCCGCCACTAGAAAATCAGCGTACACCCCCCCTCCCCCCCAGAATCTAGTTGCCATACCTACCGGTAGGGTACATAGTTGACGACATGACGCACAGGTCCGCTGCCGTCTCTCTGGCCCAAATTATACCTTGGCAACGGTCTGGACTCCATCCACATCAGGATCCCCAGTTGTTGCGGATACATCAATAGCTTACTATGCATGGGGAGGCTTGCATGAGAGCTGTTAGCTTCTCTGGAGTCGACTCCCTGCGACGATCTAGACCCAGAATTCAAAGCGTTGCGAGATAGCCGCGACTATTACCATGATCTAACGCTGACACAGACCTTCTGGGTCATTGCCTGCTGTCGCAACGGTCGAACAGTCGTCCCAAAATGGCAGTACACGATGCTCGACTTACGGCTCACTGGACCCACGGCCGGTTACACCACGGTGCGCCTTCCCCCGCGGCTTTCACAGCCCTGAATTTGGTCTTGGTCTCCAATGCTCTGTACTGTCCATCGTGGTCACGTCCTCACTTGAGACTAGCACAATCTGGACTGTCAGCATGCTTTCCGCTTTGGCCTATTTTTAACCACCACAACAGGGCTCTTATCCTGTTACACGTTGCAGGTAGATTTACCTCTGAATATTTTGAAACGCGCCTACCCCGAGTACATTGATTTGTCCTTCGATGCCACGGCAAACGCCACCGGGCCGGTCTCGACCACGCCTTGGAGCACTTTGACTCCAACGGCAGCAGAACACGAACTCACATCATGTGGAACCTTTGCTTAACAGCCGAGATGAATGTGCGGGTGAACGCAAGGATACTGGGCGCAGCACCAAGTGCACACCGGTGTACGTGGCTATGGTAAGTGGAGCGTGCGTGTGGTGTGTGGACTCGCCTTTGGGACAGCAGATTGTCATTACGACTACATGCATCATTGCAGCTCAGCCTTAACAGCAAACGCTGCGATTAGACTGCCAACTGGACCACCCACTGACGGAGGTATCAGACTTATTGTGCGCTCAGACGTCTTACGTATGTGCTCCTTATTTATACCGACAGACACTTTCACGGTGAACAGTCTGGTCAAGGGGAAGCATACCTCTGACCACACCAAGAAGTCGCTGCTACAATAAATACCTCATTCACGAAGAAATACTCCCGGTAATATCGCCTAGTTGTTGCGATCGTAACTCGAACTTTCTATTTTAGACTTGAAGTAATCGCACAGGTCTCTATGCGCCATTGTTGCTCCACTTAGCCTTGCTAACAACGTCTGGACTAGGATGACGGGTTTGAGGTAATTCTCTGCGACTCATTACTGCTTTTTGCACGTTGTTGACATTACAGTTCATGGACAGATGACCCAGCTGGATTTTCACGCTGCAGATCTTTCAATCTTTTGCCAAAAAAACATCCGAGTACCCTGTCGAGACACCTGTCCTGTGCGAGCCGGGCAAGAGACAATAACACAAGCTGAAGGCGCCATTTCCAAGTCAAGGCAGTATGTAGAGTAAGTCCTTCACAAGTGTTTACAGTGCGGTGGGCCAAGATGATTTTCCTTCGCCTTGTGAAATGTTGTTGCTACCTACTACGAGAGGCTTCGCGTGACACTACAGCGCGCCTCGTATTGGCTCAGACTCGTCAGGTTGGTGACGCAACCTCCATGTCTCGCTAAAACTTCGCTGCCGAGTCCCAACCATCGCATACTTGGATTGAGATCTTTCCCTGTAGGATGTCGCTATACCCAAGTCACCCTCCGACATCTTCAATTCTGCAGCAGAACGCTCGAATCGCAAAGTAATCTCCCCACGCACTCTCCACTCATCATCGCACCAACTGTCCTCCATTCAAACACCTCTCCAAACATCTTTCCCAAATATCTCGACTCCTGCAAATACCTTTCCATCTCCTCTCATCTACTCCCCATCATACTTCCTACACAACCTCCGCCCCTCAACTTCCAACTCATCCACCTCGTCTACCCACGCCGTCGCCCCCTCCTTCACCCCCCAAAACTCCATCTTCAACCACTTTCCCCCTTTCCCCTCCATCTTCTTCCCCACCAACAACTCCTGCATATCAATCCACGCCTTGCAATACCCATTCCCCAAAAACACAACTTCAAACACATAGCCCTCCGCCGCCGTCACCAGCCTCGTGCTCCGAAAACTGGCATGCGGCGGCGCCTCAAACGGACGCACGATGAAGGGCATGCTGCGCGGCGGTAGGTATAGCGAAGCTGTGTATGCATTGGCACTCGTGCCAGATGCGTAGTCCGCAGTTGACGAAATCCGCAACGTACGCTGCCCCGAACCGTACATGTCGACGTGCGTAGCCGCGTAGCTCGGACAGTAGAGATGCCACACCCCTGTGATACTACCCAAGGGAACTGGCACCCGGGCTACAATGCTCAAGCTCAGCAGTCGCTCTGCCATTTCGCAAGCCGAAGCCGCGCGCTCAAGCGCCAGAGCCGTAATATCCGTAGGCATAGATGCAATGGTTATCGTGAGCGGGGGCAGGGGAGATGACATTGGCATCGCTTCTGTATCTCCACCCCCTCCTCCTCCCCTACCCGATCCATCCTCACCACCACCACCCGCCGCATCCAACTTACTCAGCAGCAAAACCTGCTCTCGCTTCCCACTACACCCCGTCACCCTATGCAAGCACGGCACCGGCCCCGCTGCCTCCCTCCGCCCCGCATCCCCCTCATACTCGGCTTTGTACTCGTCCTCCTCGCTGAAATTCACACACTGTCGCGCAGCCCTGAACGCGGCGCTGAACCTCTGCACATCGGCTTCGCGATGCGTTTCTGTGCAGTTTGCAGCGCTATGCGCGCTTTTGGCGCCCTGGGTTGCGGTTGCGGGGTTGTTGGGGTGCTGTGCGGGTGCGTGCGGGTGCGAGATGTATGAGGAGGTTGTGGAGGTGTAGGGTTTTGCGGCGCGGAGGAAGAGGTCTTTTATGCTGCGGGTGGTGGAGGCGGAGGCGCTGGTGGAGGTGGAGGTTGAGATTGAAGTTGTGGAGGCGGCGAGGGAGGCGGAGCGCCGGCGTGAGCGGGGCCGTGGTTTGGGTGTGTCGGAGAGGGCTTGTTTGTAGGATGTTGGGGGTTTGGGTGTGATTGTGTTGGTGGTGGTGGTATTGGGTTTCCTGCTGTTGCTGGCCTTGGACGTCGTGGTGGTGTTACTGCTGTTGAGCTCTGTAGCACGGCTGCTGTCCATGCCATTTTCAATCCTAATATCGAACCAACTTTTCCCTGACTTATCCTTCTCTTTCTGCTTCCCCTTTCCTTTATCCTTCCCCTTCTCCCTCCCCAAACTCCCCATGTTAAACGGAATCGCAGCCCCATCCACACTAAACGCTAACCCATCCCCTCCCCGCCCCATCCTCCCAACTGGCGTTTCAGCAACCAGGACTTGCGATGGGTTTGCGCTGCCGCCGTGGCTTGGCTTTTGGGTGTGCGGTACCGTGTTGGTGTGGGCTAGGCGCGGGAGGGGGATGGGTGTGCGGTGTGGTGTTGTGGGGATGGGAGAGGGCGTGGGAAGGGCAACGGGGAGGGGGATTGGAGTTTTTATATAGTGGAGGGTAGGGTTGGGAGTTGTGTGTTTTGATTCCTTCCTGGCAGGTTGTTTTCCTTGGTCTTGATTCTTCTGCTTCTCCTTTTCCTTTTCCTTTTCCTTTTCCTTTTCCTTTGCCTTTTCCTTTGCCTTTGCCTTTTCCTTTTCCTTTTCCCTCTCCTTGCCCCTCACCTTCTCCATACCCATCTCCCCCTCTCCACCCTGACTCCCCCGCATCCCCTTTCGTTGCTTCTTCCCCGCTGGCTTTTCCTCCGAGATGGCTGAGCCGACGCCCCTTGTCCCTGCTGTTTTCGCGGCCACCGGGGAATTGAAAGCTGTGCTTAGGTCGCCCATTGAGGATTTTAGGTTTTGCAGGAATTGGGCGCCGTTGAAGAGGGTGGTGGGGGTTGGGGTTAAGAGAGTGCGGAGCGGAGCGTCGGCCTGTGTCGAGCTGTTTTGTCGTTTGCGCTTTTGGGTGGATGGGGCGTGCTCGGTCTTCTTGGCTTTGGTGTGCTTGGGTTGTGAGCTTGGGGGTGGCCGGGCTGGGGTGGGTGTTGGGCTGGGTGTTGGTGTTGTGGGTGTGCTGTTTTGGGGTTCGTGGTGAATGTTCTTGGGGTCGTGGGAGTGCCTCTTTTGCTCTTTGTTTTTCTTCTTCTCCTCCTTTTCCTTCTTCTTCTTGTCTCTTTTCCTCTTGAACTTATCCTTTTTTGCATTGCCTCCACCGTCACTTTTGCTGTCGACGGCTGGCTCGGGCGATACCTTGTCAAAGTCCAGGCTGTTGTAGACTGGGCGGACAGAGGGCAGTGACTGAGCGGACGCATGGTGGCGCGGCATCTGGTAGAGACCTTTTGGTGGCATGGCGATTGCTGACGCCTTTGGACTATCGCGGCTGAAAGTTTACCAGGCGATTGCCGTGACGGGAGTCCGCGTCGCAGCAGGTTAGTGGCAGGATCGAGTGGATGCTATCGAGAGGTGTCGCAATGAATACTCGGGGATCTGCAGAATTTGGGGAAGGAGTGAGTTAGGGAAGTGTAAGAGCGAAAGAGGGTGTGGAAATGAGAGCAAACTTGGGAACGAGAGGCAAACGTGGGGTAGACGCGACCGCGTTCGGCGTGGAAAACAACAAACATGCAAAGTTGAGGTGAAGGTGAAAATGAAGGGTCACTCTTAGCTCAATCGCAATTACGACTCCGACGAAAACACATGATGGTATCCGGCCTGAAAACATCGGTGTCCTCTTGTTTCATCGGCTTTTGGAGCATTCCATGGGACTGCATGGATGAACTAAATGAGAGAAGAGAGAGGGACGTGATCAACGACGTTAATTCGTACTTGGCCAGTATCGGGGCACATGGCGCCTCTTAGGAGCGTAAGAGGGATAATATTGAAGTATGTCAGTGATGAGAGCACAAGCAAACGTATCGCCAGTCAAAGACATAAACAATCATAACTTCGATCTACCTTCAGCCTTGAGTCTGGCATGGTATCGATCTCGCATCTCTCGTCTCAGCATCTTTCCTGATGGAGTCCTTGGAATCTATTCACATGTTAGCATCTTTCGGCATGGGCTGTAAACCATGATACCTACTGAATCAACGACCTCTATACCGCCACTCAGCCACTTGTGTCTACTCAATCGACCCTCAACCCACTCATTTAGTTTTTTCCCCACGATGTGTTCACCTTGCTCGTGACCTGCGGCGGTCAATACTATCCAAGCCCTGACAAAGAGCGACCCATCGCCACGACCGTTATCAACACCAGCAACGCACGCATCACGCACCAGCCCTTCAGGATGGTCAAGCAGCACATCTTCTACTTCTGTAGCCGCAACTTGCAGACCTTTGACTTTGATCATCTCCTTGAGTCGATCAAGATAGTGAATGCAATCATTCTCATCCCGCAGCACAAGATCACCCGTCCGCAGCCATCCCGGCTCAGTAAACATATCAGCCGTTGCCTTGCCATCTTTGAAATACCCCGGCGTCACAACCGGCCCTCGCACCCAAAGCTCGCCTTTCTCACCCTTGGCAACATCCGCGAGCGTGTCTGGATCCACAACCCGGCCCTCCATGCCGGGCAGCAAGTACCCAATCGTGCCTGGAGGGGCAGGCGCAAGACCGAAGATGCCTGGCGCCGCAGGACTCGCAATACTGGCTGCTTCACTGAGCCCGTAGCCGCTTGGTATGGGCATCCCTGCACCTTGCGGCAGCTTCTTGGCCAGTTGGTACGCGACGTCTGGTGGGAGATAGGCTGCGCCGCTCACGGCGCCTATCACCGAGCTGAGGTTGTATTTCTCGGTCAAAGGGCTTTGAGCCAGTTGGCGGACAAGAGGGGGTACCAGTGGCAAGGTTGTAATTTTGTATCTCTGGATGCTTTTCAGGGCGAGCTCTAGGTCCCATTTTGGCAACATGATGGTGGTGTTCTTCAGGAGATTGATGCGCAGGATCCAGAGGATCATGCCGTAGGAATGATACATTGGGATGACGCCTAAAGTGATTGCCGGTGTTAGCGGTTCGATGCCTGCGTATCGCGCTGCTTGCATGGCTGTGATTAGGGTTTGTATCCCTGAGTGGTATCCGTTGGAGTGTGTAATCATCATTGCCTTTGGTAAGCCAGAGGTGCCCGACGATTGGAAAAGATAGGTCATTCGATGTCCACCGAGAAGCTTTCTTGGTCGCTCGGGTAGCCTGGAACCCTCTCGGACAAGTGACTCAATCGTGCGATGACCGGCTACAAGATCCAACTTGGAGTCGTCGCTAAGCACAATGACTTTGCTCGGATTCAGCTTCAACTTCAACGGCAAGTCATCGCCCTCTCCAGTACCCAACTTCATCGCCTCACTCAACACGGGCAAAAGCATCTCATGACACATGATACTGGTAATCTGCATCTTGCGCAACACCCACCATAATTCATACGCTGTACTTGCGGGACTGATGCCACCAAACACCAATTCCGCCCGGAAACAAGCATGTGCAACCATGGGGTACTGCAAGTGGTTTTTCGAGAAGAGTGCTAGAATCTCCCCGTCTTCCGTGTCATTTACAGGACTGCGACCCAGACCAAGGGGGTTTGGCCCGTCGAAACGCAGCACACGAGATAATGCACATACCCGTGCGTAGAAGCCGTGCAGTGTAACCACTTCCTCTGTGACGGCATTGACAAACAAAGGGTAATCTTCTGGCAACGGATTGGCGGGAGGAAAGCATAGTTCGTGGATATTCAGATTGGCAGGGGTTGGTGGAAATGGTCCAAATGGTGATGAGAATATTGGCTTGTTGTGAGGCCTGTATCGGTACTTGTGTGGATCTGGGGCCCCGGGGCCAATGTACCTTGACCAGTGGGGCTTGAAGATGTCGTGTGTCATGTTGATGGCTTCTTCTGGAGAGAGAGAAGAGATATCTGGATCGTGTGGATCGTCTTGCAATTACCCTCTTCAACTCCATGGTGGACGAAGCCAGTTCTTCTCCGCAGTGTCCATTGTGCTTCCGAGGTGTTGAAGCCTTCCCCGCGCTGCTGACATGAAATCGTCCCAGGGGACATCGACCAGGCGAGTAAGCGAGAGTAGGTAGACAGCACCAGCCTGGCTCGCTCCGCAAAGTCCAATGTAGGTATGATCATCACCAGGATGCAGCCTTTCCAACACAGCGGCGTCTAAATCCCGACACGTTCACCGGTTCCGGTCATTCAGAGTTGACGAGGGATTTGCGGCGCAGTGCATCACCATTGCTAACACCGTATCCAACTACTCCTTCTCCGCCCCCATATTTCAGCATCCTTCCACTTTTTCACAGCCACTGATACAACAACCCAAGCGCATGGAGACATTCCAAGCATTGGCTGCCTGTTCGCTGACGCACCCCGTTGGTTACGTGGCGGTACATCGCGCACCGCGGCTTGAGATTAGGCGCGTCACCTAGCCTGATCGGTCGTGGAGGCGGTCTCATCCCTATGAACTCAGGAGACAACCAACAGTTTCAGACGACTGTCCAATCCAACATATAGATCTCGAGGATGCCCGAGTGGCACAGTGGAGAAAATGCCATTTTTTACGTGCTCGAAGCGCCTGTGCGGATCGCACTTGAGGAGGAAGTCTTGTCACGCTGGCCAACGTCTTCCCGTGTAACTTAATTCAGCCGCACGACACCCATGCCTTTTGGGCCCCCAGCGACCCTAGTCATTGAGTCAAAAAGTATATATGGTGCACTATTGTCCATTCAGAATATCAGCGCTCTCCTTTCATCGTTACGATCCATTCAGGGACTTCAGTGCTGAGGTCTGCCATGAACAAGACATATGACATGTCAATCGAAACCGAGAATTCGGAACACAACATCGACCGCCAAAAGACACGTACAATAGATATAATACCGGCACTGTGGTCTGCAAGAGCGATACCTCATACACCTCAATTTGGTGACCCGTACAAACTCATTGGAGACTGTTATGAACGGATCTCAACGGCGGATGAGTGGGAGATCCTCGATCCGTAAGTGAACATTGCGCTAACCATGTTGTCGTAGTTGATGCTCATGTATTACAGAGGAAGCGAAAATCTACCATACTTAGCACATATCAAGTCACTGTCGCCGACATGGCGGACACTACGTCATCTGGCCGACTGGATGCAAGTGGGAACAACGCCACTACGATGGGCTGAACTGAAAAAAGATCCGGAACAACGCAAAGAAAGAGCACATAGGACAAAAGTCAACTTTATCGAGTATCAGCCAGCAACAGCGCCGACCACAACATCTATAAGAACACCCATGGCTCTCAAGGAAACACTCCATGCTCTCTCACACGACAAGTCGAAAGCACCTCCTTTGAGACTGTTCATTGTCGAAGACCTATCACAACAAGTGATTGAATTACTAGGGTCACGATTTGACATCGACCCACTGTTCTTCCGTGAGCAAATAGACGACTACGTGTGGCACAACACACGCGATCCCTGGGCCATACCGCCCAGTCTGATGTCAAATATGAAGCATCGACCCTGGTTCCGGATGCGCAACGTTCGACTACGATATCATGCAACAGAAGAGGAGTATCAGAAATCCCGGTACGAGGCCAACGCGTGGAACGTACTCCGACGACCAGACAACGACGAGAATCACTGGCACTACCAAGATCGCGATGGAGCCGTCGTGTCCATCATCCGTACACGTACGACGATGTGGATTGGCAAGGATAAAAAATGTGGGAACGGAACCGTGGGCATCGTGTTGTTGGATCCCACTGTCAAACAAGGACAACCCCTTTGGTACGATCGTACCATGTGGCTGCCCTCGCCTAAAATAGGAGCCCAGACTATCCCTCACATCAAGTCATCCATGTCATGGTTCGAGGATATATGTCAGATGACAGAAGTGTTTCCTTGGTTCGAGCTCAGCGAAGGATACGCGATCAATGCCCAGGTGCTTGCGAAACCCACGCTCTACACAATCTGCGCAGAGTGGCTGGTCGTGTGTGATTACGTCAAAGCACGCCTGAGTCAGATCGAATGGGAACTCGAACTTCCACGCCTCTTCCGCTCGAAAGGTGACGCAATCGACACCTCGTTGAAGCGGCTACACACGTGGCGGCGTCAGATTCCCGTCTTTAGAGAAATGGTCACCGAGACGTTGGAGCATGCGCTACCGGCTGCTGCGAGGCTGACTACTCCTTCTTCCTCTTCTTCTGTGCACGGCACAGCCCCTAATTCTCCTCTCTCGGTCCGGTCAACATTTTCAGAGGGCGTGGTTATCAATTTTGAGAATGTGGATGGCTTTGAAGATATCATTCCCGACTTCCGTCGCGTCCTTGCTATCATCAATGAGCTTCAGGAACGGGTCGATCGACTAACAGGTATCGTCACTTCAGAGATTTCTATTGAAGACTCGCGGCGCGGGCTAGAGGAGAATCACAATATGGCGAGGTTGACGTGGCTTGCTACGATCTTCATCCCCATGACCTTTGTCTCTGGCTTGTATAGTATGAATGAGAGCGTGGCTGCGCTGAAGAATACGTATGGGTGGTATTTTCTTACGGCAGTGCCATTTACGCTGGTTGTCATGGCGATTGGGTGGGTAGCTGGTGGGGGGTCGCTGACGCCTTGGAAGACCAATTCCTCGAAGGAAAAAGGGATGATAGGAGGTGTGGAGAGTAAGAAAGCGAGATGAACAGATGTAGTGGTTGAATGTCATGCAACGCTGGCATGTTATAGTGTCTCAAGGGCCGTTCTCGAGTATCAGATCATAATTTGTCCTTGGTATTACCAACATCTTGACTAGAGACGGTGCCATAAATGGCACGTACACAACTATCTATTATAGTGTGTACCTGAAGTTCGGGTGCAAATGTCCCAACTTCTCACCACCATCTTGCAAGAGTCTATCATCCCGGTCGCCCCTTTCTCTCTTTTTATTTTCCCAACTCAAATACGCAATTTGCACGACGCTCAAGACAATCGTAATGACCAGGGCGCCCAGACTGATTGCATGGCCGAGAGCATACTTCGGGGCATCACGCTGGAGATAAATGAACGTGCCAAGAAAAGCAGAGCAGTTGGCAATCGAGATGACGACACCGATCCCAACTGCTCTGACATAATGTGGTGCCATATTGTTTGAAGCCCAGCCCTTTGGTGGTTTAGCGGATGCCTACCATTCTGCAAAGTGGTATTGACTTACCATGAGCATAGGAGAGCCTTGGAAGACCCCAATAGCAATTAAGAATGTACCTGCGTATCGTACGGCGTTTGTTTTCGCAACAAGCATCATAGTGTATCCGACGATACCAAGGACGCAGCCTCCGATGATGAAATATCCACGGTAGCCCCATCTATCGGACAAATATGCAGTGAGGAGGACGGTAAGAAAAGCCGCCATATTTGGTGGAACAGTAAAGAGTTGCGCGGTTGTAGACGCGTAGCCCATGCCAGAGATGATACTTGGAAGGAAGAGAGAGAAGCTCTGGTGCGTGTAAGTAATGTGACTTGCAAGACCGCGACTTAGCCTTACGTAGAGTGGTATCAAGAGAAAAAACCAGATAAAGCTACACAAGTATGTCTGTGGGGCTTTCAATGCCATTTTCACCCAGGACCAGCTTGCCTTTTCTTCGTTGACATCAACACTTGTGGAACCATGAGCATCGAGGCGCATCCGTCGCAGTGCCCAATCTTTCTCCCCATCAGTCAAGAAACCCGCACTCGCAGGCGTATCCGGTAGAAAGAAGAAGCAAATCCCACCAAAAATCACAGTCGCAGCGCCTTCAACTGTGAAACTCCGTCAGTAAGCGGAGATATTCCAGAAGAGCAAGAAGCAGCTATATCTTACTAAAGAAAATCCACGGCCACCTTCTATATCCCCCAACCTCGATATTAGCCAGCCCACTTGCAAGTAGCCCACCGAACGCTCCACTCAGTGGTGCAGCACAGTAGAACACCCCACTTCTGACCAACATATCACTCCTGCGGTAAAAGAACGCAAGATAGATAATCACGCCCCCCAAGATCCCACCCTCACACAATCCCAACAGCAAGCGACATACAATCAGTGCCGCATAGCTCTTCATAAACCCCATGAACGTGCACACAAGCCCCCACGCCGTAATCAGCGTGGGAAGATAGACGCCCGCACGCAGTCGCTTCACGAGCATGTTGCTCGGCACATCGACGAGGATGTACGGGATATAGAAGACCAGCAGTGCGACGTTGAATTTTGTACCCGTTGCCATGTTGAGGTCAGTTGCGAGGCCGGCGATTCGAGCGTTGCCGATGTTGCTGCGATCGATGAAAGAGAAGAGCCTGGGGCGGGTGTGTAAGCGTTAATGGTGATTCAAATATGAGAGAGAGAGAAAGAGAGAGAGAGCGGTATTGTAGACTTGGGTGAGAGGTATTGCTACGTTCGTACCATATTCCAAAAAGCCAGGGCAAGATGTGCATGTCGAATTTACGGTTCAGACGCTTATCGAGCTCAAGATCAATGGTTGGGTCGTTTGTAACCGCTTCTTCGATGCGCGTGGTACCCGCGGCTTTGAGGTCTACGTTGTGTGATGGGCACAACATGTTGTGCGTGATGGTGTGTTGTGTTATGATTATTGGTATGCATATATGGAACACCGTCAGAATCAGGGCAAGAGGGGATGGTATAGTTTGATCAGAAGGACATATAGCCGAACTCAAGATAAGTCAAATATAACCTGTCATTATTACCCGCTCGCTACCTATGACCGGGACGCCATGATCTACACACCCTTCGCCAAACGCGGGATGAAAGGATTGCGGGGAATTAATGGTGGATAACCTGGGCTATATGTGCCGCCTTCGCCATGAACACCTCGAATCATACTCTTGTATACCAACATTCGCCGTCGAAGTCGAACTCTGCTTCAGTAAAATCATTGTTGTGCTCAATCCCCATCCCATCTATCCAATCCTGGATATCTGTGTACATATATACAGCCGGCCCCTCGTGTTTGTCGCAGTCCGAGGCTGGCTAACTGAGTCGTAAGAAACGTGGCGTGTGGGGCTTTGCAAGGCTTGGACGGGATCTTTGAGTTGCTTAACTTATTTCGTCATCCATGCCCAAAACAGCCTCGCGAACGCAACGCTCGGGATGTCGATGGCGCGGTAGAAGACCTCAGAGGCTAGGGCGACTGTGGCTGCACATGTGCAGAAAACGGCGAATGTGTTTAGGGTGTCGCTCGTGCCTGACTTGTTGATGTGCAGCCACAGCTTGATGCCGGCGGTGTAGATGAAAATGCTTTGGACGAGGAAGACGCCTGATTCGTGTTAGTTGATCGTTTGGGAATTGATCATTGTGGAGGACGTGTACTTACTGAAGCTTCGTCTGCCCAATGCAACAAGGGGCTTGCTCCGGAGGACATGTCGCGGCCACTCGAATGTCTCGACCAAGAGCATAATACCGACTATGATAAGGTAGTTGTCGACACGGCCGAGTTTGCGCGATTCATCAAGATTCTCGTTGAGCAGGCCACCAGTGTAAATCCCAGTATGAGCATATAGTTCGTTCTTCCGCATGCCCGGGTTCCAGGAGATGAAGAGGAACTGCAGCAGGTATCCAATAAATGCCAAGAGCACGTACAGAGGCCAAAAGGGGGCTTGATATCCAGCAATCTGGAAGCCGTTGCGAGATCTTGCCTGGAAATCCATATTGACAACTGCATCGGCAATGAGGAAGCCGGTGACGCTGTACCAAGCCCAGCTTTGCACCCAGAAAGCAGTCACGATGAACAAGAGCAGCGCTTTCACGCGCCATGAGATTCGCGTGTATGGCACAATGACCATGGTCATGTAGACTGTATAGCCTTGCTGAAAGAGGATAGAGACAATCCAGAGTGTGCCAGAGGGAAAGGCGTTGTTAGCGGCTTGGGAAGCATAGTCCCTAGTGAGCCAGAAGATGTCGAACAGGGAGTTGAAGTAGACCAAGAAATTGCGCAGTCGAAATGGTGTGTTTGCCGAGACATTTCCAGTGATTCTCAGAAAATCACTGACATATTCGCTGGAACTTGAGCTGAAGGCTGCTGCTGCTAGCGAATAGGCGACGAAGGTTGGGACAAACAGCCTGATGCAGCGGCGGAATACGCTTGAAGCGCAGACCTCACGCGCACTGTGTGTCAGATATGGGAGGCATATCGTACGTGCAGAGAGAAAGATGATCCACGAGTAAATCAGGGCCTCGTTCGCGAAGAGTACCGAGAAGGATTTGCGGAGGACTTTTTGGTACAGCGGGCCATCTGTATTGTTGGAGTCTGGGAGAGCGGTTGGGAGGAAAACGTGGAAGAAAACAAAGAGGAACGACTGAACGACAAGAGTACCACGAAGTCCTATGAGATAGTCTTGATCGCGAGTTGCAGCTATAGAAATCCCATTGGAAGATGAAAAGAATGTTCCAATGGAGGAGGACTGAAGTGTTGATTTCATGTTGCCTTCTGCCGGCCCTGGTCAATTGATTGCAAACCAATTCGGGGAGGGGGGGTATAGAACCTCACTTCAGAAATGCTGATTGCCAGGGCTGAGTGACTAGGTTTACACGCTGCGAGCAGCAAGGCCTGAGCAAACTGGTCGAGTGGCACAGGCACTGTACCTGACAGGCTGAGAGGCTTCCCGTAGGGAGGAGACCCGAGATCAGCATGTCTGCTGGCCAAGATTCATGTCCAGGTCTCTTACCCCTGGCGTGTGGGTGTACCGCATGATCCTAGCAGGCGTAGAGTCTTCCCTCAACATGCAATCCCAAGCTACGATCCGGACTTGGACCTGAGTGCATGTTGTGCCAAGATGCAATGCATTCGTGTGGCGCACCATGTCCCGTTGTCAGACGGAAGATAAGAGTAGAGTTTTTAGTAGGTTTAAGCGCAAGCCTCACCCGCAGTGTCATTGGACTTTGCTTCCGTACCAATCAGTGCGAACTGTTGCATTCACGATGATTACGGCGTAGATGAAGTCCCGAACTTGACACATGTAAGACGGAATTTCTAGAGAATTCCACATGGGCTTTTGTTTTTGGCATGGGTACCGGTACGTGCTCGACAGGATGACGTGGACCCAGAGTACCTAAACTCAAATGTCTTCGCGTGCTTGTTGAGCCACGCGTTCGCACCCACGCGGGGTGTATAGCTCGATTTGGAAATGCCAGTTCCTTCAAGACTTGTTGTGTGCCAGTGTGGGAAGCATGCGGATAGGTGTCATGACGAAAAGAGCGAAAAGGTCGGATATTACCTTCTTCAAAAAGAAAGATCATCGTGAAACAAACTTTTTCCCGAGTATCCCCCACTCAGCTTTGCGATAAAGGGCATGATTTTAACAGGCCCAGAAGAAAAAACGAGGCCAAGAAGTGTTAGACCCGCGCTTGTTACCGCTGAGCATGGATGTCTCGAATCCTCCCACCCGAAAAAACGAGAAAACGAGCCTCTGACCAACCGCACACTCTTTCATGAAAGAACCCATGGCAATGCATTGCAGTATCTCCACCAAGCCTTACCTATTCATTCATACTTGATCGATGCTCATTTAGTCTGCTATCACAATCTCATTTCTTTTTTGGTTCAGGGCAGGCAAACAAGGAACATTGGCAGGGCCTCAACCACTGGACACAGAATGTCGGGAGCTTGCTCCCTGTGCTCGATTGTAGATCCCTTTGCTCAGAGGCAAGCAACGCAGGGGAGTTGACTCGAAATTTCGATCCAGTCTTCAATTCGTTTGGTGCCTTTCCTTGGATTTATTGGAACCGACCGCTGGATATCATAGGTAATTGCTGGCTGTCACACCGCACCGGAGAGTCGCGTCTGTGCCCTTGCAGCACTCGTAAACCGTATACCGCGGTCCGTATAAACCAGCGAGCAACAGTTACAATATGCCATGATGGGACGACGAGGGCCAGATCTCGCGAACGGCTATAATCTGACCCATGCACAGGGGGTAGCGATGCAGGATTGTGGCTTTACATCTATAGAAATACATCATTGTGCTACGATGTACCATGTTTGATACGTGGAAATCACTTCAGAATATTAACACTATGTCTGTACAAGTTTTTTTCACTTCTGTTACCTGCTGCAAATAGGGCTGCAGCTGCTACGCAAGCAAGTGATCACGATTAGTAGAGAAAATGAGAGGGCTAGTCCTAGCTAAGCAGGCTGCATTCACTCTGTGGAGCAAGGCGAGGCGTCTAGCTGAGGTGCTAACAAGCAAAGTTAGACTTACGTCGGCCCGATCTAGGCGTAAATGTTGCTGGCTGACTTATACGGTATGATGTGTACAATCATTTCTGGGGAATAACACGGTTCTTATTCGAGGCTGTGCGTTCGTCTCTATAGAAATGTGCAGCTCAACAATTCTTACATGGTATTCCAGAATAGCCTATCGTGAAGATCAGGGCATAAAATTGTTTTCAACAAGGAACGAACAAATGACGACCAGACAAAGGTCCGGCATCGTATGAACAGGAATATACATAGTACGAGCCGCTATGTCCTAGCGGTAGGGTTCCAGGAACTGTATTTCACCAATTGTCGGGCATGCCCGTATAGTCCAATCGTCGCGTTGACGACAAGGTAGAACGGATAACTAATCGAAAATAGAATAACCATCTTTCTCGAGACGAACTCGGACTTGACCTGATTTGTGATCCAAAGCGTGGCGACGAGACAGATAGCACTGTGTGCATTATTGTTAGCTGATGCTCATAAACTTGAAACGCATGTGTGTAGTACGAACCTGATGATGAAGAGCCACTGTGACACAGGATATTGGAAATAGACCAGCTTCCAGAGCTCCTCGCCAGATGTTGGGAATTTTGTAATAACAAATGACGCGACGAGGCAGGTGTATTGTGTGACCAGGTAATATGAGGACTCGCGAATGAGCAGAAGCGAGAGTACACCGAATCGTGCGGTGAAACTGCGCTTGGAATGCTCTTCACGCAGGGGATCGTCAACGCTGTTGAAGACCATTTTCATGTGTCGGGCACTCGCTTGCGCCCAACCTTGTGCCCACCGAAGACGTTGCTTCCAAAATGCGCTCACAGTCGTCGGCGCCAATTCGTAAGATGTAACGTTGAGATCATGGACCGTCTTACATCCCCTGCTAAAGGCCCTGAGTGCCGAATCAATGTCCTCTGTCAGCATAGATTCGTCCATTTTCATCTCTCGCAGCAGCGATGTCCTCCAATATCCATTGGAGCCACAGAAAAGACCGAATCCCCACATTGTTGAGCGCCCGGGGTGGGATACTGCATAAATCTTGTCGAACTCGACAGCGATCATGCTCGTCATGAAAGTATCTGCCGAATTGAACACAATGCACCGTCCTTGCACGATATCGACGTTGGGGTCTGCCTTGAACCTTTCTGCAGCCCACCGGGGAGCATTTGGATGGGGATAATGATCGCAATCGTAAACAGCTATGACATCGGAGCCAGTGTCCAAAGTCAGGAAATAATTGAGATTATCCGCCTTGGAAGTTGAGTTGGGCACTTTGATGATTCTGGCATTGGAGTATTGCATAGGCAACTGATGCAACTCGGTTTCCAGAGGTTCGATCGACTTTGGTGTATTGTAAAGGATGTTGATGCGTATTTTGTCCCTGGGGTAGTCAAGCTGCTCCAAAGCGTAGATGGCACGATCCATGATGATGTCCTTTTCATTCGGAAGATACGCGACAATAATAATATCCAGGATCGGGAGATCAGCGTGTGGGGTGGGAAACAGCCAGTCCTTCTCTTGTGCCTGAGTGACAACTGCTCTTGCTTCCCGGCAGGGACCAATGCTGAAGAAGGCCTCCAAAACCGTGGTTCCAGCGATGTAGAAGTTTGTACACATGTAGATGAACCAAAATATGGCGATGAGTCCATCGCTACAGTACATGTATAGACAAACTGAGAAGACATAGTAGGATACGACCAGCCCAAATGGCGTCCAATCTGAGATGAATGTTGAAAGCTTGTCGGCGGCCTTGGTGGTTATCCAGGTGTCCTGAGAGGCAGACTTCTCATCCTGGACACGGGTCTCACCAATGTCGATGATGCAGTCCTTGGTGTCTGACATTGTGGCAAAGAGAGTGAATGAACAGAGCCAAGTGGTTTGATGCAACGACGTGAAAGCGAGTGAACAGGTCAACCAGAACGAGTGATGGCTGCCCTAAAGTAAAGACGATTCAGTGACGATACGCCGATTGCAAACGACTAGTTCTGGATAGAACGATAGACAATAGTGAAAAGACAATACCCAAAAGAGGATCAAGTCAATAGCTGAAAGCCAACAGACTCGTATGATAAGAAGCTATTGAGGCCGTCGTCCCTGCATGCAAAGTCATGGTGCGCGTAAGATCGGCGTTTGTATCAATGTTGCCGGACTGTAGGGATGTGAGCACAGTGGAGCAAACCTTGCATCTTGCATTACGATCCTTGTACAAAGCTTGCATCCCGAGCATCGCGATGCTGGCAAAGCGCCAAGCAAGCAGTCCACAAAGTAGCTGATGTACCTAGCTGCGGGTCTGACAGCAGTAGGTGCCATTGGCCCCCAGTATTGGGATCAGCATATCTGCCCATCTACCAGACGCTGAGTCATGTCCTGATAGTTGGGTCAAGGGGAGAAGCTGGATCTCTGTGCATCCCAGTGCTCGTGTCGTCTCGCCGTCTCCTCGTCTCGCGGTGCTATCGCTTGATGTGATTGGTATGACACGAGCTGCAAAAGTCTTGGACAATATTCCTTACTACCCCAATATGCCTTGCTGTAATTCACAACGCAGCCGGCCCGCAGCATCGTTTCCGGGTGGCTTGCAGAACGCGAAACGTAGCCGGATGGAAATTGCAGATTGCAGGTATTCTGGGCAAGCGAGACATCAGCCTCATTGTAGCGGCGTCGTGGCAATGGCTGAAGTCTGACGGGTCCATGGGTGAAAACATGGGTTGGAGGAGACGTGTAGGTAGAAAGCATTCACACTGGGACGACGAGTGGTTGGTGCAGACTTAGCGTCGCGTTAGCGCGATATGGATAGACTTAACTTGACCCACCACGCCTGATGGCACAACATTTCATTCATCCACCGCCCGACGGCTGCCTTGCGCGTGTAACGACTCATGCCCCGTTTGACTGCAGTGTTCGGGACCTGCCAAGAAAGCTTGCAGGACCTTGGGCACCCCTTTGCCTGACCTTGTCAATGGCAGGTGGCGGAGCCGGCCTAGTATGGTGCTGGCCATGACCTCGAAACAAGACCAGGTCAACTCTGGGCCTGACAGGGGAGTTTTTCAGCCGATAGTTTGTCTACAGCTGATCCCCGGAGAATAGACTAGTAGTCGCACGGCTCCTCTCTGTTCGGGTGACTGTCACTGCTGGTACCTGCTGCGTCTTGTATGTCATTCGCGTAGCTCAACTTCTATGCGGTGAACAGCAAGTGCAGTTGAGTCTCTGAGTCTGCCCTTCTTCTCTGTCATACCGCCGTGTCGTTCACGACGATGATATTCTTCTTCGTTTTCGTCTTGCCTCTACTGTCTGCGTTCTCCGCGTCGGCAGAAGTACTAAGCGGGGGAAAGACTTGTTCATGCGGATTCTACGATGACAAGACCGAGGAGCTATTCACCGATTCACTCATTGTCTATTTCAATGAAACCAACAGCCTTCCGGCCGACCTTGTCACCGAGAGCTACGCCCAAAAGTATGAGAAAGATTGGAATGCAGTATATCGCCAGGCAGCAGACCCTTCAAACGTCAGATTCAACGAGAGCGAGTCTCTGCAATTATTCGTTCAGCCACCAACCAAAGAACACTTGGTGAATGGCGCCAGTCTTCGCACAGCTCGGCGTGACATTCACCATGGCTCCTTCCGCGCTCTTATCAAATCACCAAGGCGAACGTTGCGTGGCTCTGCAATGTCCATGATGTGGAAGTACAACGAAACCGAAGTCACGGAACTGAGTGTCATGAATACAGACAGTTCTGCTGAGGCCTGGGTCGGCACATTTGTGAGCAATGAGTTTACAGAACGACACCTGGGCATGAACTACACACAGCTCCAGAATGCCACGGCCGCCAATCGGAACTACACGACACTCGATGGGGGCCGAAGCAATGGCAATATCGACCCATGGGACTACACAGAATACCGCATCGATTGGACCAAGGACTACATCAACTTCTATATCGGCGGAAACATGACCAGGCAAATCTTGCACAAGAAGAACAAGGGTATGCCGTCAGTGCCGTCTGCCTTGTATTTCAAGCACTGGTCAACGGGCAACCGTTTTTCCATGAAAGGCCCCCCTGGTCGAGAGTCGGTGGCTAATGTCAAGTGGACTCGTATGTTCTTCAACTCTTCATCTATGACCGAAGAGGCTCGCGCAGAGTTTGTTGCTCGCTGCCCGCTGACCGAAGCTTGCTCTGTGGATGACCCGGAGTTGCGCGGCGCGACATCCTTCACAGAGGTGGCCACTCAAAAGTGGAAGCAAGAAGGCAAGAAGAGCATCAGACGTATGCCAGCACTATGGGTGTCCATAGCATGTCTTGCATTCTCCTCGTTCTTGCTCATTCACACTTTCATAAAGCGTCTCGCGCCCAAGGTCCTCCATAGAACCGCACCGAAAGCAGCGGGACCCGCAGCCGCGTCCCCTGCAAACACGTCCTCTGCTTCGACCATAGCCGGAGAAAGCGAGAAGAATCCGTTTGATGACACCACAAACCCCATTTCGGAGAAGAACCCCTTTGCGGATTCCACTCAGTCCCTCGGATCCAGCAAATCGTCTGTTCGCAGCTCTGCAAATCCGAGCTCCGGAGTGCCCAGTAAGCGCACCTCGGATGATGATCTTGCCATTGAACCAATCGAGCCAAGTTCGGGTGCGTGGGCCATGAGTGGTGGTTCTACTCCAAAGGCAGGTATATCGCGCCAAACGTCCTGCATGTTCGACAGCCGCGAGCCCACGCCATGGAACAGCAACTTCAACGTCACCCGAGAGGAACTCGTACCGCCCATGCCAGGTGTCGACTCTCAGCTCACCCTGGCCATGCCAGGAGGTCAAGCCCGACAAGCCTCGACAGACAAGATTGCCATGGCGGTTGTCACGGAGCCTGCTTTGGGCCCTGCTCCACGCATGCATGCCCACCCACCCGCCAAACGCGATCGTATCGACTATCTTGCCGGCTTGACAGCCATGTGCGCATTAGTCGTTACTGTCATGCATTTCGGCCTCACGTTTGTGCCTGCCATGGTGATTCCCGGTGCGGCCGAACACCACAGATCGGAATACTGGGCGCAGAAGATCATAGCGCCGTTTATCCTCAACCAAATGTGGCTGGGCGTCTTCTTCACCACATCCGTGCGCTTCCTCACCTCGTCGTACTTCAAGACGGGCAATGTGGAGAATATTGCAAAGGCAGCGGTACGCAGGACACCGCGTCTCATGATCCCCGTGGCCACGATTGCGTTGCTCGAGTATTTTCTCATTGATATCGGGGCTACCTCTTACCTGCGCTATATTCCCAGTCTGACGTGGTCGACATGGCCGTACGTGACACGGTACGAGAATTTCGGACAGTACATTTCCGAAGTCATTGAGCTCGTCTTTTTGATTCCAAACGCCGTCCCACAGATCACTTTGCATTACTGCACGGGTGTGCTGTGGACAATTGCCGTGCAACTCCAAGGCTCCTGGCTCGTCCTCATCGGCGCCATCGTAGTGCGCGAAATCAAAACACCGTCGAAGCGCGTGGCGCTGTACGCCTTTTGTCTGGTATCGCATTGGTACGCGCAATCGTGGGGCGCCTATCTCTGGCTGGGTCTCCTGCTGACCGACCTCGACGTGACGTACAAATACAAAGACTACCTCAACAAACGGCCGCTGGCCTACTACCCCTTGCTAACGTTTTGCTGGCTCTGTGTCGGCGCCGGCTTCGCCGTAAACGTGATTCCCAATTGGAGCAACACCAGCTTCAACTTCACAACGGCTGAACACGACATCCACCCTGACGCCTTGACCGCAGAACCCCTCGTTAACACGCCGCGCGCAGGCTACCCGGAATACTTCACCCCGCGCTTCAACGGCATCCTCTTCGCAGGCGGCATGCAAGCCATAGTCGAGCTCTCGGGCGCAGTCCAATGGTTCCTTTCCACCGCGCCCTTTCTCGCCCTCTTCCCCCATGTCTTCACCCTCTACCTCGTACACGGCGTCGTGTTCTGGACCTGGGGCTCCTGGCTGCTCGTCTTCCTAGCCGCCCGTGGCTTCACGTACGGCGTCAATGTGGCGGTGGTGGGCGTGACGTCGTACGCGCTGTTGTTTCTGTGCTTGCCGGTTATTACGCCCCTGGTCGAGGCGCTGGGCAAGGATGTAACGAGTTTTGTGTGGATGACGGCGCAGCAGAGGAGTCCGCCCAGGCGACCGACGTTGTTTCCTTTTCCGAAGGATTTCTTTACGGCGAGGAAGGATGGCGCGGATGGGGGTGTCGAGGGCAGAGATGTTGAGGCTGGTGTGCATAGTGGTCGGGTGGGTAGTACTGCTGGTGTTGGTGCTGGTGCTCCTCCGAGTATCAGTAAATCTGCACCCTCTCCTACACCTACTGTCACTGCAACAACACCTTCGTCAACTCCACCTCCCCCCCACCACTCACCCCCCGTCTACACCACCGAGACCGAGCAAGCAGAACACCGGAACCGTACCGGCAGTCGCTTTTCCACGGGGTAATAGCACTCGCTTTTGGACAACTTTGTTTCCTTGGAGCCTTTGTTGGGGGGTTTGCGGGAGTTGAGGGGTCTCTGGTTTAGGAAACTCTTATGTTTGGTATTTTGGTGGGGCTGGCGTAAGGGTTGGTGATGGATATCATGTGATGTCGGAGAGTTTAATTGGTACATATGGGGTAGGTTGGGTTGATGAATGGAGGGCATGGTCATCATGTGACAATGTAGTTGATGTAGGATACGGTACCTAGCACCTTGACACACTCTCAGAGCACACATCCATGGTAATATTTTTCCACCTTGACCTACCATCCCACCCAGCCGTAAGAAGCAGACCCCATCACACCAACCGCACTCCCATACCCACACTCCTCGTCTCAAAAACCTCAAGCAGCCCGGCGCCCACACACTCCTCGAACACAAAGTCGCAGCTCAGGCCGTAGAAGCAAGACCACTTCTTGGTGCGAGCGGGCAGCACCAAGCGACCCGCACCGTCCCAGCGTTCCTTGAGGGTCGAGAGCGGCATTGCGCGGGACTTTTGCTGCTTGAGGAGGGCGAGGAGGTGGATGCGGGCGGAGAGTAGGAGTTTGAGGTGGGAGCCCATGTTGGGGAGGGAGAGGGTGTAAGGGGCGTTTGGGGCTGGGCGGGAGGGAGAGAGCGAGGAAGTTCCGCCGTGGATGTGCTGGGTTAGGGAGGGGGAGCCGGCGGCGGCGAGGGAGCCTGATGGGTGGCGGGATGCTGAGGTGGAGATTTGGGAGAGGGAGGGTGGGAAGAGGGGAGTTGAGGGTAGGGTGTTGGAGGCGGTTAGGAAGCCGGTGGTGAGGAGGGTGGAGAGTTCGGGGGATGTGAAGGTTTGGGTGGGGATGGTTGTGGATGTGGGGTTTGTGGTCATTGTGGAGATGTATTTTGCTGTGGGGTGGGAGGTAAGCATGTTTTCTTGGTTCTTATCTAAAGGGAAGAGGGAAGATGGGGGAAAGAGGGATCAAGAGCGTGGGTTGGTTCACCTTTTAGATCATCGGATATTTGAGGATGAGACTGAACCAGATTTTGCCATTCTCTCACCGAAGCAATACCATCGCCCACGACAGTTGCGCCAACCCCTCGACTCGGAATCGTGACCCGCCGCAGAATACCGGCCTGCACCAATTCCGCAATCTCACGATCTACCTTGGTGGGCGAGGGGCTAAGAGCATGAATATGCGCTATGGTAACAAAGGGCGACAGATTGCGTCGAAAGTTGAGTACTTGAGCGATTCGGGTAGAGTTCATGCCGGCTTTTTCGGGCATGGGGCTGAACATACGGTTGCGGATGTATTCCATGTACTGGGGGACATCGCGGAAGTTGAGATTGTCTGCCAGAGAGGCGATGACGCCTGTGTCGTCCAGCAGCTCATCCTCATCACCATCGTCGTAGGAGACTGTGTTTGAGGAGGGGAGAGAAGGGGTAGATTTTTTGCGCGGGCTTGTGGAGGAAGGGGTTGAGGCAGTGCGTCTGAGGCCTAGTTTTGCAGCACCGCTTGTTCTTCGGGGTTTGGTGATGCGGGAGGAGTGTGCTGGAGTCCATTGGAACGACATGTTGTTGGCTTTTGTCTTATCGCCACAACGTGACGGATTTGAAGTATCTTGTTGAGATGTTGGATGAGAGGTGCATCCAAAAGATGTCAATCAGGTGATTCGAGCAAAGTGATGTTTGGAAGATGCTGGGCTTTCCAGGTCATGGTGTTTCCCGGTGGTTTTGGGGGCAGAGCATGTCGTGATAGCGACGAATCAGGAAAGTGGCGAGGGGTGAAAGGATTCACGTGACACTACGAGTCGGTTGCGCCACAGATGACGCCACAGATGACGCCACAGATGACGCCACAGATGACGCCACAGACACCGCCACAGACACCGCCACGAACACCAATGTCAGGCTAGAGTAGTATGGACTCCCGTCGATGAAAAGAAAAAGCAGACGATAGAAACAGAACGGAAATAGAGAGGATAGAGGTGTAGCCAAAGTAATTCGTAGAAGAGACGTCCCTCGAGGGGCAATCATACTCTACCCGGTCTCCCCTAATCGACGGTTGGCTGCACGCAAGCATCCGGCAGCCCAGTTCCGGACCGAGCCACAACTGACATCATTCCCAGCACAGCACAGCACAAGCACACGCACACGCACTTCTCCGCCAAAACCCCAACCCTATTCACCCAACAAATCTCTCCAAAAAAAAATGGCCTGAAACAAGCTGGGCCCTTGCAGCCTTCTCTCCACCTGCCTGCACATTCACCCTCACCCTTCCTCTTCCTTCCTTCCTTCCCTTCCCTCCGCATCACTTCCCTTCTTCCCTATCCACCCTGCCTTGTTCATCATGTCGCTGAATGCGGAGCCAGCCGAGCCAGAAGAACGCGAGGTGCTGGGTCTCGCCCCCAAATCCTATGCCGACGCTGCCGAAGAGGGACCACAGCCATCCGCAGAATCACATGTCAGCCCGACTGCCAATGGCACCACCACTACTCACGACCAAAATGGCCATGGGCCGTGGACGAGGAAGATGAGGGTGGATGAGATCAGGACCAATGGCACGACAACGCCGCCGCCGCCGCCGCCGCCAATCAATCAAGACGAGGAGAAGCAGCAGCTCGAGGGTCTGGGCCAGGATGCATCGCCGCGCAGTCCAACGATAAAGGGCCATCGCCGCGTCGCGTCGCGAGGCTCCAACGCCTCATTGGGGCTCAAGTACAGCGAGCGTGTGGGCAGCGAGCTGGTCGAGGAGAAGGCCAATGGCCATGGTGATGTCCTCACCACGCTGGGCCCGTCTCCTGAGCTGGACAGACTGCCCAGGTCCGGCATCAAGCGCCGCAACTCTGAGCTCAAGTCGGGACGGAAAGCGGGCGCTGGCTGGGCTACGAGCAAGTATGTTTGCCGACTCTCTGTCTTTTGCCCTCCTCTTTTCCCTGGAATCCCGTTGTTCAGATCTAGTACCATATCCTTCAGTCCTTCAAAGGTACTAACAACCGCTCCCAGGATCCGCTTCGCTCCCATGAACGTCCCCCTCCAACGTCGCCTCCAAACCCTCGCCGTTCTCATGCACACCCTCAGCATAGTCGGTAGCCTCGCCATCTACTTCTTCCTCTGCAGCATTCCCCTTCTGTGGCCCTTTATGCTGCCCTACACTGTCTACGTCCTCTTCTCCAACGCTCACACATCTGGCGAGCTCTCCCTCCGCAGCGAACGCATGCGCCGCCTCAAAGTCTGGTCCCTCTTCGCTTCCTACTTCCCCGCCCGTCTCCACCGTTCCGCCGAACTCGAGCCCACCCGCAAATACATCTTTGGCTACCACCCCCACGGAATCATATCGCACGGTGCCTTTGCCGCCTTTGCTACCGAAGCCCTCGGCTTCTCCCAGTTATTCCCCGGCATCACAAACGCCCTCCTCACCCTCGACTCCAACTTCCGCTACCCCATCTACCGCGAGTATGCCCTCCGGCTCGGCATGGCCTCGGTCTCACGCGAATCCTGCCAAAACATCCTCTCCAAAGGTGGGCCCAACGGCGAAGGCATGGGCCGCGCCATCACCATTGTCGTAGGCGGCGCCCGCGAATCCCTCGATGCCCGCCCGGGCACCATCAAACTCGTCCTCCGACGCCGCAAAGGCTTCATCAAAATGGCCCTCCGCACCGGCGCAGACCTTGTGCCCGTCCTGGCATTTGGCGAAAACGACGTGTACGACCAGCTGGACACCGAGTCCCACCCGTATATCCACCAATTCCAACTCCTGGTCAAGAAGGTGCTCGGCTTCACGATTCCCTTTTTCCACGCCCGAGGCGTCTTCAATTACGATGTGGGCATGATGCCCTACCGCCGACCCATCAACATTGTCGTCGGTCGCCCGATTCGCGTCGTCCAGGAGGATCATCCGGATGCAGAGGTGATTGATCGGGTGCATGGCCAGTATGTGGACGAGTTGACGAGGTTGTGGGAGGATCACAAGGATGAGTTTGCGCGGAATCGGACGGCCGAGTTGGAGATTGTGGAGTAGGCCATGCTTTATGTTTATAATTAATGTTGATGGTTTTCTTGATGGTGCTTCTTTTCCTGGTCTTTTATGTAAGAGGGTGTTTTTGGGCAGGTGCTTATGGGTGAGTGGGAGATTGTTTGTATTGCTACTGATATCCAGTTTTTGTGGGGGCGGGAGGGTTTTTTCGCGTGGAAATTGTTTGACACGCATTTCTGGGATTGATTTTGTTGATTTTAGAGAGTGAAAGAGACTGTAGGTGAGGGAGTGAAAGAATTAGCTGGTTCTATCCTATTGCACACCTTTTATTGCGCCTTTTTGCCTTGAGAAATGTCATGTCGATTTAAGAGTGATGTTTTCTCTTGCTGTTTTTAAGCTTTGATGGTCTTGATTTCTCCATGTTTGAGTCTTTGGTGTTGGTGCGCTGTGTTTAATGTTGCTATTTTGCTATATTGTGGGTTTAGTCTTATCTGGTACTTTTCTATGCTCGTCTTCTTCGCGTCATGATGATGTGGAAAGGCCTGGGTGGATTAGGACGGCGGTCTGGGGTAGGGTATTAGGTTAAACTACAATGCTAGTCCAAAACACAATCTTCGTTTAAAGTACAACATCCTTCCAAAACCCTAACCTCTTTCCCGCTAGACACTTAAACCCTAACATCCTTTTCTCTACAGTCTTCCTTGAGGCACATACGACGACGAGGAACACTACTATTACCATTACCATTGACTACTACCCAAACTACTATTAAACCCATCACTACCCTCACCCTTACTATCACTAACTCCATCACCATCATCCATCTCAACATCACCACCCCACTCCACACCCCCATCCCCCTTTGTGAAATCCTCGCCCACAAAAGTACTCTCGCTATCACTGTCGCTGTCGTATTCCGCTTCGCAATTTGCTTCGCTGTTGGATTTGCGTTTATACCCACGTTGCTGTCCAAGCTCATGTTCGCGTTCATGTTTGTATTCCCGCCCAGGCAAGAAGCACCAAAACCGCCCAAACACAAACACACGGGCGCCATGGTGAGATGCACGGGATGGAGAAGGAGCGGTGTTGGGGCCGCGGATGTATGGGTGTGGTTGTACTTGTACTTGTACTTGTACTTGCTGTACTTCACTCTGAGTCTCGGGTTCGTGCGACTGGAGTGTGCATTCGACATCGATATGCCCAACTCATTTCTCCTACGCCGTGATGATCGCTCCTACTAACAAAGCATACGTGGTGGTGCTATTTTGGGGATTTGGGGTATGTGGATGGGATTTGGCGGGGCGGGGTTACCGGTAGGAGATGCAGAGGATGTGGATGGCTTGGTATGTTGGGCATCACATCTTATCCTTTTGACCCGTAATACTACGATACATGATATCTGATTTTTGGATGCTGCATTGTTTGCATGTTTGACCATGAACTACGAGATTTGCGTCCAAAAAGGCCAGCAATCACAACGGCAGCCTAGGTATAAAACGAGACTAGAGTGTCGGGAATGATTCGACTACATCACGACCAATGCTGACGGCTATATAAACCATATTTTACTATGAGCAAAAAGATGGACATTCAGCCAACCTCCAATACCCAATCAGTCCTCCAACAACTCCTTCCAGTTCTCCATCTGCTCTGCATACGACTCATCATCCAACACGCCGCGAAACGCAACTTCCGCCGCCACTAAGCTGTGGCTGGGGATGATCTCGCCTTCACCACTCTCCTCTTCACCACCATCATCATCTTCATCGCTATCGCTACTCTCACCCAGCTTCTCAAGCGCATCAAGCAGCGCTTCCCCCGAACCCTCCAACTCTGCAATCCGCTCCGTCGCCAAGGCCAACGCTTCGCGCAAACTCGCCTTGACATCCGACTCAGCCTGAACGGCGTCTGGCGCGGCGCGCGTCATGATGCGGTGCAGAGTAGCCTTGAGCGTCAAGTTGCGCTGCTGCAGAGTAGTCTTTTTGCGATCACTTCGCTTGAGCTTTTCGAGTGCGCGTTTTGCGGCGTTGAAGCTGTCGGCGAGTTTTTCATGACTTTGCATTAGGGCTAGGAGGCGGGAATGGAGGTTCTTTTTCCCGCTGATGGATTCTTCGTTGGCGGCGTGGAGGCTGGTGATGGTGTGTGATTGGCGTGCGAGCCGGTTGTCTTGGGCTGCGGAGCGGATGCGCCAGATGTCTCGCTCATGGCGGAGGCGTGCTGTGTAGGATGAATACAGGAAGAATTCATTCTCTGCGTTGGGCCTTGCGTCTGGTGTAGGGTGTGGGGAGCATCTCGCTCTTCTGGGAAAAGTTGGATGGCAAGATGGAGATGAGAGGGAAGTTGGTGCCGAAGTGACGGTGGGTGTTGGGGCTGGTTTGGTCACGGGTAGAGCCATTTTCAGCACTGAAAGGGGAATGTTGTGTTGGATTGGTTCTGTGTGTTCGAGCCTGGCGCTTTGTAAAGAAGGCTGAAGATAGAAGAGCAGTATTGTTGGTCAGAAAAGGTAGGTTGGGATATGAATATAATGAATGTAGTGATTGTTTTATTCGCTTGGACCGGACAATAGTAGGTGCAGCAGTACTTTTGCAGGTCAAACAAACGCACTAGTTAGGTGAGAGCCGCACCTCTTCGCGCTTTCACCTCAGTACTGTTCCTTCGACCTGTATTTTGTCGAGATGCGCTCCCTAAGCCAAGGCAGAAAAATTATTCGTACAAGAGATATACCAAATCTAGGTCGCGGATTGAACGAAATGAAGTCAACTGGTGGGTGAGGAGTGTCAAACCTTGACAGATTTTATTGAAAATTGTTAATCATGGGAGTGCACCATATTTTGGGTAACTACGTCACAAGGCCAAAGCAGCCGCAAAGATACCTGCGGCTCCGCCCACAAAAGCTACTGCGCCTGTGGGTAATGCTACTGCAGGTGCAAGCCCAGTACTTCGGCTCCCTGCTGCATCGGAGCCCGAGGCTGACCCAGATGGCAATGCTGTTCCTGATCCAGATGCTGTTTGCGATGCTGATGCTGCAGGAGAACCTGATCCGCCTGATGCGCTCACGACGGCGACGGTCTGGAAAGCCTCCATATCAGAGAGCTCAGTACTGCTGACGACAGAAGTTGTGACGCCGGTTGCACCAGGACCAGGGATAGAACCTGATTGGCTCACTGTGCAAGTCAAATCCGCCGCCGTGATAGCGCCCTGCCACTTGCAGGCCATGTCCAGTGTCCACGCGCCTGGTGAAGGGTCGGTAAGATGCATTTCATAAGTCGATGGGCCTTGAACGAGTGTATATGGCTCGCAGAAAGTGTAGTCTTCAATGTCGCTGGATGACTGGTCCTGACGACGCAAGCGAGCTGCCGCTGTCGGGGCTGGAGTTGGTGTGGCTCCCGCGTTGTCTCCTTCAGGACGTTAATAGTCTCATCTAATAGATGTTGTTGATCGTAACATACTCAGTTCTGAAGGAACAGCGGAAATGCCGACAGCGCCCGATGGGCAGCTGTTCTTGTAAGTCGTCGCGCTGGCGTCGGAGCCAATAGCGGTAAGGGTGCTTTCAAGTTGGAATAGATTGAAGACAACTGCTGTGTCCTGAACTGCAGATACACTCGCGAGGAGACCCAGATAGATGGAGGCACGCATTTTGAACGAATGACAAGAGGAAAATTGGTGAATGTGTGAGAGACGCAGAATCAGGGTAGAACTCGCTCAGAGCGAAGGGGAGTGAGTCCATATACAGTACATTTCTCCCGGTTGGATGATTTCAGGCGTCCAAGTAGTCTAGGTCGGTCGCTTCTCCTCAGCCGCTTATTGAAGTCAACGTTTGAGTCGAATCAAATCAGTCTTTCCCCTGCATTGGCGTTGATGTGTCAGCCGGGAAGAAGTTTTGGGAACGCGCTAGCTATTCATGTCTCCTGATAATCTTGTATACGAGATTCGAAGGTTGCACACACAAGTGTTGTGCCATGCGAGTCTCAGTGGCATTAGAGGCCTACAAGCATCGACATGATGTTCCTTTTGGATGGGGTGAAGTGAGAAGTCAAAGTGTACTCCTATCAGCCAGGGTAGTCAAGTGGGGCGCCACCTGCACAGACGGTGAGCTTGGCGCTCGCCCCCAGCCGCCAAGTCCGACGGTAATGACTGCCTTCTTGCCCATCTGCCGTTCCATCAATCTCTACCACCAACGCCATCTGTCTCATCGATTGCCAACACCGCGTAATCATGTAGAGTGCGGTACTTCGTGGCGAACAAGATCTCGGTGTTTCTCTCGACACCAGGAGCTCTCTCAGTCTTCTGGCGTCGCATTCACGACTCACGTGCTCGGCCCAGGACTCAGGTCTTATAGACTACTTAGCATGGGATTATAGTCATACACATCGCCAAGAGCAGGCGTTCGATGTGCTCGAGCGAAAGCCCAGTATTGGCTGGAGTAGAAAAGACTCGTCATATCCAGTCGTTAACGGTAAAGAATCCACGGTCCCTACATGCAGCACAGCCTCTGCTATCTTACGAGAGGACATGGCTACATTATGACATGACTTTGACTCACTGTTTCTAGCTCTTAGGAGTCATTGTATTCACATGAGAGCAATCGCTCATGTATAGGATTTACCTTTCAAACACATCTCTTTGCTCTCTCCGTTTTGGTCACGACTTACTGAGTACTCGCTCTCAGTAAGAGCAATGACAGTGCACATTCACTCAGACATCAATTTGGGACTAGAGCGGTCAATCGCGCGTTTGATCTATACTTTAAAGCCACCTCTGCCCTTCTTGGTCTTAATCGCAGCTGTAAATCACACGACTATCATTCTGATACGGCGAACACTCAACATTTCTGATGCGACCAGCAAGATTCTGCGCTCTTGTACACGTCCTCCAGTTCAGACGCGAGACCCTACCGCAATGGATAAAATCAATGAAGCCCAGCACGCCCAGGGTGACAGCAACGTCACATCTGCTCAGCCCGTCGTCATTGCCGCATCTTCTGCAGCAGGTCTTACCGACATACAGCGCATCAAAGCTCTAATCAGCCGGGCTCAGCAGCAATACGAAGACGTCTCCATCCACTCCAACAACAAAGGCATGGATGAGGAGTTCGCAAATCTTCTCGACCTGGCGAAGCAGGCCTGCAACAGCGTCGAGCGCAGTCGCACCAACGCTGCCAAACTGCTCGGCGAATCAATCCAGCGATTTCTTGCCAAACAGCAGATCCTGGTGCGTAAGTATGAGGCGGAGAAAGTGAAGGCGAAGGCGAAGAAGCGCGAGACCGCGGAGTCGATGATGGAAGGGTCTACTAATGGGAACGCGCATAGCCAAGCCGCTGCTGAAGAAAAGATTCAAGAGCTTGAAAAGGAAAATATCAAACAGCAAGAGGAAATGGACTGGATGCGCGCAAGGATCATCGTGCTGGAGCGAAAGCTTAGGCGGCTTCGAGAATAGGATCTACCGTACGTGCCGCCAGTTGGACTACATGATTCGGGGATGGCATGAACCTCGAAACTGTCAAATATCAAAGCTAAAAGGCGCAATTTGACGCTCCCGCTTGAAGCATTGATTGTTAGAACTGAGCCGCCGTTGTGGACGCTGCACCTTCGCAGTGGAGATTCTTACCGGAACATCGGGTGGTACCTTGAAATCACCGATCTGATGGATAAAGTGGAGATATCATGGAACCAATCCAAATGTGTTGAAAAGCCGATTGATATTCTGTTCTTCGATCTTTGAGACTCAGTGCCATGGCAGCTACTTGTACCCTACAGCAAGCATTCCGCTGAAAATTGTCGCAGATCCAACCTTGTTGTCAATCCTGCGCGATGCTTAAAAAGCTTATCACTACCTAGAAGCTTCCTCCCGCTTCTCCCGGCCGCTCTGCATATCGCACTACTGCTCGAGTCGGCCTTTTAGGCACCGGGTACAACGTTTTCGGGAGAGAGCAAGAGTGGGGTTAAATTGTCATGACGTTGAGCTGCACAGCAAATAAAGTCGATATCATCGGTACAGTAGTCCTCGCTGCCCCCCTCACACCGGATCCCACTGTGTTCACAATCGGCTCTACAGGAACCATCATATCTAAATCCCAAGACTCGATCATGTCCTCACCGAAGACTGTTCGTTGGGGCATCCTCGCCACGGGAGGCATCGCTCTCACATTGTAAATTACCCCGCGATACCTACCCCGCCGTAACACTGTCCTGGCCTGCCCATGGGATTTGGATTTCACTCACTATGGTAACTAACATCGCTCCACAGCACAAGGGACCTCCTAGTCGACCCGACGACACGCGGCGTCAAGCATCTCAAGCACACAGTCGTCGCCGCAGCATCCTCCACCTCGGAGGCCCGCGCCAAGGACTTTTTGAAAGAGGTGGGCGCGCCTGCAGAAGCAAAGGCCTATGGCTCGTATGAGGAGTTTGTCAAGAATCCAGACATTGACGTCGTCTACATTGCCACGCCACACTCGCACCACTACCAGAATGCCCGGCTCTGCTTGGAGGCGGGGAAAAATGTGCTGTGCGAGAAGTCCTTCACCGTCAACGCGGCACAGGCTCGCAAACTAGCCGAACTGGCCAGGCAGAAGAATCTCTTCCTCATGGAGGCAGTCTGGACACGCTACTTCCCGCTGTCAATCTATGTTCGCGAGCAAATCTCGGCTGGGCGCATTGGTCCCGTCGCCCGTGTCCTCTCCGACAACAGCATGGCTCTCGACCCGGAGATCAACTTCCCCGACGGGAAAAACCGCATGGTCAACCCCGACCTGGCCGGCGGTGCGCTGCTCGATCTCGGTATCTATTCTTTGACCTGGGTCTACCAGACACTCTACCACACCCAGCCCGAGGGCTCGCGACAGCCACCCAAGATTCAGGCGTTTGTCAAGCCATACGAGCCCACTGTTCAGGCGGATGAGCAGAGCACCGTCATTCTCCAGTTTCCCAGATCAAAAGAGGCAGGTGGTGAGGCGCATGCGGTGGCTATGACTTCGATCCGCATTGCGACGGCACCGGGAGGAGATAAAATGGACCAGCCGTTTTGCCGTATCCAAGGACCCAGGGGCGAGATCCAGGTCTTTGGTCACTCATTCCGCCCTCTGGCCGTCAAGATCATCTCCAAGGACGGAAGCGTCGAGTCAAAAGACTTTCCTATTCCTGGTCCTGGAAAGGGGAGTGGTTGGTACAACGGCTTTGGTGGCTCAATGCAGCCTGAAGGTGAGGGTCAGGGTATGTTTTGGGAGGCTGATGAGGCTGCTGATGCCGTCATCGGCGGTAGGAAAGAAGGCAGATTTTTGGGACTCGATGAGAGCATTCTTATCATGGAGGCTATGGATGAAGTGAGGAGACAGGGTGGTTTGGTCTACCCTGAGAAGATTGAGACGCTAGAATACCCCGTCCAGTTATAGATGTGCTTGGGAGGCACCGTGAACATGAGAATTGGATTGGATAACCATAGTACCCGAGTAGAATCTGAGCGTACACAATAGACTCGGAGCATTACCCCTGTGCCGAACTGTCCGCTTCCCAAGGATGTCCATCCTTACCAAACTGCGCCCCAGTGAACTTCAACTTGAGCAACCTCTTCCCCAAAATCTCCTCTCTATGCGCCTCCATTTCATCAAAATCCCAATTCACACTGACCACATTGCCTCTCAGCCACTCCGCCCTCTCAGTGCAAAGAAACAGCGTAAGTCCTCCCGGAAGCAAACGATGATCAATCGCATATTTCTTGTACTCATCCGGTACCATGTCCGACTTTATTACACCAGGAATCATGGAGAAGGAGCGGATGTTGGGTTGCTCTGTATTCTGGTGAGTGTGAATGTCGAGTAGCAAGGCGAACGAGGAAAACTAGATGACAGAAGGAAGGTCTACGGAATATTGGACTCGAGAGCCTGATATCTGAACCATGCGAGAGAGCTTCATGGTACATTTGAGGATACTTACCAGCGTGTAGGAACTCCATGAATTTGACCTGGGCGAGCTTGCTGGAGGTGTAAGACGAGAAGCCAGGACTACATTCACCAAGGACATTAGTCGTGATGGTGATGATAGTGCCATTGTCGTTGAGCGATTGCTTGAGGAACTGGTGAACATTGAGGTAGACCGCTTTTACATTGACTTCCTACGAGCAAAGATCAGCCTTGTCAATTTTTCAACATAATTTACAACAGCAAGCGCTACCCACAAAGTCTTGCCACCAAGCTGCTGGCTCGTTTTCTCCAGCAGGAGCTTGATGCAATGAACCGGCATTATTGACAAGAACATCGATTCTCCCCATTGATTTGACCGCTTGCTCCCACAACGCTGCGACATCCTCGTCTCGAGTAATGTCTGCACGCACAACGAGTATCTTTGTCTTTCCCTTGCCAATCTCGTTCAGCTTTTTCTCTACGTCTTGTAGCAAGTCGAGTCGTCGAGCTGCAATCACGATACCCTCTGCACCAGCGAGTGTCCAAGCTTCAGCTATAGCACTACCCACACCACCAGAGACACCAGTGATGAGGATTGTTTTCCCAGCAGCTGAGAGATGGGATCCGCTGGGGTCCAGGGTAGGGTAGAGACTCCGGTGACAGGTCTTGGTCAATTGCGATATCCAAGTAACGGCACCAAGGTCAACTTCATCAAGAGTCGTAAGATCCGGATTTGACGCCATTGTGTAGTCTTGTTCGGTCTCTAGCAAGGTTTTCCAAAAACAAAAGTGCGACTGAGATGAAAGGTCGTAAGGGACGGGAAATCAATCGCTTGGTTAAATCGAGATGGATTTTTGGCACACCAGTCCACAATTTTTGCCCTGGGGTAATGATCTACAGTACATACAGGATCCATTTGCAGCTTATTTTCCTGATATACCAGGAGATTTGTTACTCGATGCGCGTACATCCGCACTCCTTTATTCGCCTTCCTGGCTCTTGGGGCGCAATGACGATCGCCTGCGGAAGCGGACAATGTTTACCGTAGCTGCCGATTGGGAAGCGTCCAAGTTCGAGATATGGTGTCCAAGGCCTCGGTTAGCTCAGATTCGATGAGCATATCAATATCAAGCTATGCTAAGCAATCGTCTTACCTGATAGATTGGCGTAAAATTATGGATCTGATAGTGGGCTAAAGGATGAAGACCCACTTCCTAGTGCTTGCAGTGGACTGGGTCGCTTGAGACTCTAATACCTATGGCGATGTTTAGATCAACTCATTGATGCCGCGTGATGATAGGGTGCCTCACGATTGGAAAGATATTTTTCGTTTTGTTTTCTGACCGTCATACATCTGGATATATGTCAGTAAGGGTATACCAGCGGACATGATTGCGCATGACTGCTGTATCCATGCATGCATACAAAGAAAGCTCGTGATCGAATGTCATCGAGTGTTGAGTCCTATGGACAATCATCAGAACAAACCTCATAGACAGTTGGGGACGTTGTCGCATCCCAGTTGGTTAATTGTACGGAAGCTGTGAGCTTTAAGTGATCCATCTTTGAACTTGAAAGAGACAAGTTGGATTTGAAGAGTTTTCAAAACTGTCGTGTTTTTGTTTGGGAAAGTTGGTTGAAAGTCTGCTGTGGAAAACTCAAACCCGACCTCGACCTTTGGAAGTCGCGTGACGTCACGCTGAAGTTGACTTTGCCATCTAGAATGAGTTCCATCACTCATGCATCAACTTCCAGCCAGTATCCCGTGACATATCTTCAGTGCAGTGATAGCACTTAGTTGCTGACTATGCGCGTTGAGTTCTCACGAATCTACGACATTGTTTCGTTGTGAACACGATGGAAGCATTGACGGTGACTGAATGACTTCAGTTTTGATGTCGCGCTTTAGGAGGGCTCATAGATGATTCTTCGAGGTTCCTCTTCTGCTCTTTACTAGCACTATCACATCATCCCTCGTCATCCTGCCATTCAACAGAAAACTCAGCAGGCTGCTCGTTGAGGAAGAGTTACTTGGCTCTCGTAACTTAGTCGCATCATCAATGCGTTTCATTTGCCAATACAATGTCCGATGTCGGTAGTGCGTTTAGATCTGGCGGATCGAGGTCAAGGATTTCCATTGGGAAGCCTCGACGTAAGCCTCAGTCAACGAAGGTGCTCCGGGCACACCCGCAAATTTCTCCAAAATCATGGTCACACAGTATAAATCTAGTACTGCGCAAGAGCCATGGTGGTAGGCCGTTAGGTTCGCCAGCGGAACACTAAAAGCGCTGGATCAGCACGACGCTGCTCAGCTCGTCCTCGTTGAGTACTTACTGAACGGTCACAGATGAAGGAAGGTCACCCGGCGGGCCCCTAGCACAGTATAAGACCACGCGTCATATTGAGCAAGCAACATGGTTGTGGGAATTTCTTTGGAAAATCTTCTCGGCATATGAACGCACTACCAATGAAGACAGGAGCAGAAGCCCTGCAATCCTTCGCCAACAACTCCAACACAAGTGAAATGTAATACCAGATTTCCTTTCGATCTATTCAAAGGCCATGGATTAGCCTTCTGGGACTAGTATCGCCTTTATAACTGAGTGATTCCTACTCTACCAATCCCAGGGTGAAGCTCGCGTGAGGGTAGCGTCAAAGCTTCCGAAAGTAAGAAACCAAGAGAAGAGATACTGGGACAAATTGTCTGTACCAAGGAAAGCATCGAAAAATTTCGTCATATGGTCGATACCCCAAGTCATAGTGCTCTCCCCATATTATCTCATACAAGCATGCATGATGCTGACAGCAGTCACTCCGATGATCTTCGGGTTCCTGCCTGCATAGCTGTCTGTCATGACATGAACCCCCGCAAAGATTTCTGGGTCAACCGAAAAGAGCAGACAGGTAGTCGCGAGGATACCCACGCCCTGCGTTGACAGCGTGGCACCAGTCGATTTTACGCGAGTTCGCCGACTCGTGACAGCCCAGTGGTAGGTGTGACAAGTAGCAATAGCCGATGTATGCGAAAAGCAAGCTAAGCATTAATTCACTGCTAATATTAGGGAATAGTCAACAAAAACGAGGTGGTATGGCTTCAAGAGGCAGCGTGCCCGCTGAGGGTCTCGCATGATGGACAGTAGGTAGAAGTGCACCAACAGGACGGCAACTGATGATGCAGCAGCAAGCTTATCAGGGAATCACTCACAAGGGCCCGTCATTGTCATGGGTTACCTTGACCTATGAGGATGATGATGCTGCTACCTTCGCTACCTCCTCTAGCGTTTTCAAGATATGCGAGGCCACTTCGGTGAAGAAATCAGCGGGTGACGGTGGCGCCGATGGCCACTGGGGCACGAAGGATTTGGACGCCAACTGCGGCAAGATGGCTTTGTAAACCTGCCGGGATATCTCGCTCGAAGTACGATCTCCAAACATTATATATGATCACTGACGTGGTGTTCTCCACCAGACAGGCGACCACTTCCATCGCGCTGGAAGCTATAGTGCTGCGCTCTGCGTTCGGGCTTGGCGGAGCCCAATTCCATATGAGTCGCTATCATATCAGATCATTGTTACCTACTCGCAGTGGGAAGTTCTGCCGGTGTGTCGTTCTCTGGGGCCTAATTCTATAAAGCTACCTGTAGACCCTGGTATCCAGATCAACACCTCCCAAAAACCTAGTGTCATGCATGGCCTCAGTCCTGCAGTGATCGCTGGCGGAACCGAAAGGGTTGCCGGTAGTAAAGCCGGATATGTTGTCAGTGCTACCGGACGAACCTCGCAGCCCAGTGCCACTGTGCTATATCCGACAGCTGACAGGTTATTGGTGAAGAGGGCATTGATCGCGCAGGCTGCTGCAATAATTCGTGATAGTATTCATAGCTATGGTGTAGTGTAGTGTAGTGTAATGTAGGGAAGTTGTCAACAGTGTGACAGGACAGGGTGTACCGTAATCTGTTTATCGAATCCTACATGCATATGACTCTGAGACAAAGGATGACTCGATTTTACGATATTGGGGGTTGCACGATCTGCACTGCAGGCCCAACGTGCGACGTGCAGACTGGTGCATACTGCTCCCAGTGCACGTAGGAGTTGTCGCATCTTCATTTCATTGTTTCCCAGAATCGGACACCCCTGAGTGTCCAGTTGAATCTCGGCTTCGGGATGTTGTGTGCGCGCGTGTGCAGAACCAATTCGAAGGGGATCCCAGGGCGCGAACAGTTTTAGATGGACTTGTATTATGGGTACGAAAGGTTGGCTCTTTTCTTTTTACATGCCGTGTCGTCGATACGCAATTGCACGGTCATCGCGCTTCTTCTCACGGGTCCGGTCTGTATGTCAGCAGGGAGGGAACTGGGAAGCACGTGACGCTGTCGTTCACTGGATGAAACGTCTGCCGTACATATTCCATTGCAACGATCGGGCTGAAGTGCGGATAGACCCGAGATGACATATGTAGTACATATGGCTGCAGCGCCGTGCGGTGGGCCTTTGAGGATCTCTTACATACATTCGCCGCACGCATAATGCGGGTTGCAGCATGCATGTGGCGTGAACTTGGGGTTAGCGTCTTGATGCAAGCACTGTGCGACACGTCACGTAGGTACGCCATCATCCAGCTGCCACACCATATCGGAGTGCCCTGGGGCGATGTCTTTTTTTTTCTTTTCTTAAATGAACAACACAACAAACTGCCAGCGCAGAGGGAGATGGATGCCATGAAGGGCGCAGACCGCAGACGCGGCCGCCAGGCTTGCGCGGTTACAGGAAGCCATGTGCACCCATAGGGAGGTACAGTCTGGTCAGGGAATTCATTTGCCCGAGACTGAACCCGAGGAAGGTCCGGGCTGGAGATTGATTCAAGTGTGTGTGTCTGTGTGTCTGTGTGAGTTCGTGTGTCAATCACGTTTGGTTGCTCATTGGAAAAGGCAGCGAACGACTGGCCATAGCGACGGCATTCAGGAACCGGACGGCATGAGAGTTAGGTGATAGGTGATAGTGATATGGGCTGCAGGAGTGCAAGAAACCGGGACACCGCAGGGCTGAAGTGCTTGCCAGGACCAGGAACAAGGACAACCGGCGCTCGCTGACACAGTGCTCAGCTTACCTTAATTCACGCATCATGAACCAGCTTATGGTGGGTCCAATGAGACGAGAGACCAGAGACGAAAGAGACGATTTGTGTCGAGTTAAAGCTACCGGTAGCTCGCTATGATACCTACAATATGATACGCGTTGCATTATTGCTCTGCATGCAATCTCTGCGGTCGACTTGACTTGACGGCTGGACAAGAGACACCAGAGCAATGCTCGAGATGACGCACCGACCGGTCGGCCACCAGACAACAGACTCTCTACCGGTTACCATACTTGTACAAATAAATACAATTTTGGGACGGAAACGGCACGGCGCGCTTCCTACTTTACCGAAAGCGGGCCGACGGCCGAAGTATGGTCTGGGCCAATCTGCGAGTCACATCTGGCATTGCGTCGGCTTGGAGAAACTAGCATGGCAGCCAGCCATCTGTCTCTCTCTGTCCGTCGTCCTTCAGTGCCAGCACATACTGCGAACCAGACTGGTAATGGCAGCACAGTAACGTTCAAGTATTACCCCGACCTAGCTCATTGGCCTTGTCATCCCAACCCGCTGGTTCTCCAAGCACACATAGCCGCATGCCAGAAGGCTACGACCAGGTTCTTCCCGATTCTTGGAGTTCTAGCTCCTGTCTTGCCGCTCTCTGTTCTTCGCTGCCCCCGCAATCGCTCGCTCTATCATGGCTCTTCTGCCCAATGAGATATCGATAGGGCTGCCAGCGCAGCGTGGCAGCACTGCAGCACTCCTTTGCTTCACTTGACACCATATTGACTGCTGTATCAGCTGCGGGCACAGCTTCTTTGAGACGATCTTGTGGCAACGTTGCTGGCGGGCTCTTGCAACTTCCCGAGAATGAGGCTCTGTCACCAGCTTTGCACTATAAACACACTGCTGTAGGCCCAGGGCAACTATAATTTTCCACTCTCTGTACGCAATTTGATCCTCCCAGATCCCCACTTGCAACTTCTTACCCCACCCAAGCCTGCCCCATAGACAACAACATCCCTTTCTCTCCTCGCCAACAGTCACAGTCATGGCAGCACAGGAGAGCTACGTTCAGAAGCTTCAACGTGCGCACACCAATTTCTACTTTGACCTTGGCTAAACAGTGCAGACTATTGCGCAACGAACCAGATAGCTCAGCCCCAATTCCAAGACTATTCCGATCCCCGAGGTCCGCAAACCCTTACAAGCCAGCCACTCGTCGCACTGGCTGTGACAACCTAGGCTGACATGACTCCAGGCATAAGAACAGCGTGGTCGAGTAGCGTCTTCGTACTCGGTCGTGAATACCGAGCCCATCTATGGCGAGACTATCGATACCTCGAACAATCGCGAGAAGAAGCCGCTGAAGTGGCTTGGAAGGCTCTGAATGCTACTCCCACATCCAACGTAACAACAAGTCAATCTGCGTACAACTATAACCGTGGATACACAACTACTCGATAACTCGATTCAAAAAACCTACGACAGCACGGATCCACTGCAACACAAAACATCACAATCGTCCTCACAGGGGACTATCGTGAGCCACGTACAAGTCCACCATCATCAGTATACACGGGGGGGTCGTTGGAACACGGCACCTCTGGCACGTTCCTTTGCGCTGCATGGATGAACCCTGCAATGGTACTCTCTGTTTGACCTCTCTACTTTCCTATCGCACTTTGTCACCTTGGTTTTACTCCACCAAATGGTCCTTATACCCTTCTTCCTTAGTCTTCTTCGACAGCACTTTGGCTTTTTGAGCGAATCTCAAGACTTCGCTTCGCTTCGCTTCGGGTTTTCACAAACGATACATGCTATACCCCTCCGAGAAACACTTTCATCTATTCGCCCACTGGTGTTTTGTGCCACAGGGTGCCGCTCTCTACCTGGTGGTATTCTCATCATGGTTCCCACGGTCATACGATACCTTGCACGGCTAGCTCTTGGGGCTACTCGATTACAAACTCTTTCTGTATTACGCCGGGGACTTTCCTATCGTTCAGTATCCAACAGGACATAAAATTTTACCATTAAAACATATACATACTGTCCGTAGTCTCCATACGAACAGCGGGCCCATCAAACGCAGAGCGCCCTTTACGTAAGGGCCTTGAACACCACTGAGAAGCCCTGCATGACTTTATTACGCTACGCACAATGGCCTGTGGGCAGAATGAACTTACTAGACCAACAAGAGGCATACTAGAAGCCAAGGGGTTAGAGGGAGAAATGGTGTTACTGGGCCTGTAGCTTTCACAATCATGTTAACCTCAACTCCATGGTTCGTTGTAATTCAGTCATATTTGCAGCACTCAGTAGTCACATCACAGTCCACTAGCTTTTTTCTGTCAAGACTGGATCGAGACGGAGTCGATTTATGCGTACACAAACGTGGCGCAGCCTTAGGATTTACTCTACTCCACCATACAGTCGGATTGACATTGTTGTTTCAAAGTGCTTTCCCCTTCAATGGCAAGATATTTGAAGTAAGTCTGCATGGTTGCCCCCTCTTCATTTGCCCAATCATGAATTGCAGTGCACGCATGTTTTGTCAAATCAGGGAATCACATCCCTAGAATCACTAAGGCCATGTCACTGAAGTCATGTATGGATTCAATGGCAGAATTGACAGACGCCAGTTTCTCAATGAGCGCGTCATGTCATTGGACTATTGGCGCCAGTCTCTACGGTACTGAGAATTCCTAATCTGCGCAGTTTCCCTCTTCTTAGCATACTCAACTGATCGATCATATGGTATGTTTAGAGACTCATAGCTTCTTCATCTTATTTGCAATGTGCAGCTGTGCTTTATAAATCTTGGAAATCGCACTGCTGACGGGATGTATCTACAAATGTATCAACAAACGAATCCTATCTGGGCTTTGTGGGATATGTTATGCAGCAGTACCTATACTGCAGGCAATCACAAGGTCATAGTGATCCAGGAAATTCAAAGGCAAGCTTGATTCACTGCCATTCCCAATTTCTAATCAGCTCAAAAAAATGTAATTCGTCTAAAAGTACAAGGCCAGACTATAATCGTAGTATTCTGCGATATAGTGTTTCTTGGCGGAACAGTTTTCACAAAGACATTGCAAGAAAGACAGTCACTTAGAAAGATGTACAAACCGACGTAACGGTTGGAACTCATTGCGCAGGGTTTACGCGGCTTCTATGCAAGGCCAAGCGCCCGCACATGGCTATCCGAGACCTGTTCGGTTTGATCCCTTTCCGAGCGACGTCAGGTCACACAAGGCCCAGAAAATCATCGTCGGATTCTCATTGGATCAACTCCAACATCTTACAGAGACGAAACTCGAATTGTATCGAGGCACACACAAGGCATAAACTGCGGAGTAACTAAAAGGCAGCGAATTAGGCTGGTCCCCACGCTCAATTGGTTCGCTAAGCCACTTGGTACTTTGCAGAGAGCCATCAGTCGTTGAAATTCCATGTTCGTTCTCACTTTCTCCATACTCGTGATATTGTAGTCTTGTACCCATGTCCCAAACGCATAATGTTCACAGTTGTCCCTGGTATGCCATCTGTGTTTCCAAACTACGGCTACGATGTCGATTCTTTCTACCCCATTCGCAAACAAACTTTTGAGCGAAACAGAGTCCCAGGTCGTCACCCCTGCAAATAACGTCCACCTACACTCATCCTTTTTCGAATGCAATGTGCATCTGCTCGCCAATTGGTGTTGTGATGGTTTTTCAGCTGCTGTTGTTGTTTCGACACAGCGTCTATGAGCATCACCTTAGGCCATCTGAGTCATAATGGTACTGCTCAAAGGAGCATGTGAAGGAACAGTATCTAGTATATAATATGTCAAATGTGGTGTCAACATCAAAACCAAAAACTTCAATACTCACCAGACCATTTTCTTTCTCCCAAGCTCAAGTAGCAGCATTCCGCTTATACCCCATCTTCATAAAACCTTCAAAATCACTTCCCCTCCCAAGCCAAAAGACTTCCAACAAGTTCAAAATTCACAATGGCACCCCTTTTCAAACTTGCCACCCTCCTCGGCTGTATGTAGAAGTCGACCCTTGACCACCCTCACATCAATCTGTCCTAATCTTTATATCTAGTCTCTTTGAGTGTTGCTGCCCAAGGCACACAATTCATCACGGGCACCTGTGTCTCAGACGCCGAGTGTGCATCAGGCTGCTGTGATTTTGTAACTGGAAAGTGCGCGGCTCCATTTGTTGCGAATGAAAATGGGCATGGCTGTGGCTTTGGGGATGCACAGCCGAATAACAATGCGTTGAATGGTGGTGCTGCTGGGAATAGAAATGCTGGCTCTGGTTCCAACTCTGGCTCTGGCTCTGGCTCTGGCGCTTCTAATTCAGGTTCTAATTCAGGCTCTTCGAACTCTGGCTCTGGTTCTAATTCTGGCTCTGGCTCTTCCAACTCTGGCTCTTCCAATTCTGGCTCTGGCTCTGGCTCTTCCAACTCAGGATCCAACACCGGTTCCGGTGCCTCAGGGGGCTCTGGAGCCACAACAGGTACCGGGACTCAATTCATCACCGGGCCCTGCACATCCGATGCAGACTGTGCATCTGGATGTTGCGGGTTCAACTCTGGAAAGTGTGCAGGACCAGTGATTGCGCAGGAGCGCGATGGCGGATGTGGCTTTGGCGACGCGCAACCTAATGATGACGCTGCTCAGGCACTGCAAAGACGAGCACTTGGTCGCAGGGGCCCTGCGTTTATGTAAAACAGTCGGATAAGATAAGTACCATAGCATGATTGATGAGCGAGGAGCTGAGCTTCTCCTGGGAATACCGGGTGCCACAGGTGGCAACTTCGGATGTTTTGGTGTTGGAATGATTACTTACGGATGAATGATTGTCAATGTATTTTTACACGTTTTCGTTGTGATCATTTACTGCTTTTACGTGCTCCATGTGACATCCGTTTAGTCATATAACGAACAGTAGAAGCTAATCATATATCAATTTCACCGCCACCTACAACGATTCGAACAACCGCTACAACTTTCTCTTCGCCTTCAGTCAAAGCAAAACACCATGCACATGTATCACGGCCTACTAATCTAGTGACATAGCCTGACATATTGGACCAGAAAGCTTCTGAACTGTACTCGCAGTCCGGCCAGTCCGCTCTAAATCTTTCGTCATTGCTTGCTACTGTATTCAAAGCACCTGAATTCTACAACAATACCGATTCCCATCTTCTGCAGTCGGTTTGCGAGATGATTTCTGGTGTTTTGAGAAGTGATTAAATAGTCAGTAAGACCTTCGAATACTGTGCGAATTTAGAGCTTGGTAGAGTCGAGCCGCGTGGGACATCAATTTCGATGATCCAATAAGCTTCACTATATTGAGTGCAGGAGCATGGATTGAATATAAGCGTCTAGGGTAAACACAATATAGGCCTGTGACAGAAGTGAATATTCCCGGCCAATGCACCCAGCGAGCTCTAGCTGTATGCGTTTAATCCACTCATCTCAGCTTGTAGCCAATTTGACAATTTTACAATTGTATACTACTACATGTAATCATCATTGGCACTGCATTTTCCTGAGGCACAGAAAAGTACTAACTTGATCTAACTCTCAAGCATAAGTCCATTATCCCCTATCAAGAAGTAAAATCATATTGTCCAGCAATTTTGGAACTTGCACACAACCCACGGAATTCGCAAAGTATGCACAAGAGTATTACTTTAAACCAAGTATCCAAGTACTGCAGTCTGTGCTAGCCTCTAGAACTCATGATACAATCTCCTCCCCCCAATATTATCTATCATCTTATTCCATAAACTACGGAGTCAGATCCTCCCGTAACGTGCCTTAGGCTTCAAGGCTCGCGATTCATTAGTTCCAGCCCTTCTACTGTGTGTTCTTCGGTTTCAATAACAGGAGGACGATGTCAGGGGTTAGAAGTGTCTTTACCCCAGGAGTTTGAGCAGTTCGTTGGATTACTAGCAGTGGCGCGGCCCTGGTTTAGGTTCCCTTTTTGAAAATGGAGAGATAGGAAGCTGGCATACTAGATACATGCATGGCCGTTGGCGTTATGCGGGCCTAGTCGGAGGATTGTGGCCAGGGCATGTTGCGAAGTTAGGTGAGGTTTCCTTCACTTTGGACGGTTAGGTACGGGGATGAGCATGGGAGAGAAAGCAGGACCGTGATTTAAGTGAAATGAGATGTCATGTTCAGCGTTAAAAGCAATGAGTTGTGAAAAAGAAATATAGCAACAAAAACACATCAACCTTATTTCCTTTTTCCATGAACAGGAGGAAAATAGCGGTTATGAATATTGATGTCTTTGCAATATGGTTTACAAGAGAGGGCCACATCCTAGGTGCAGAGTTGATTTGTGCGCAACTGTTAGATTGAAGTATCTCGCTTCCTAACGTTGTGACAGAAGATGACGATATAACATGTAATTGACCAAATATAAGTACCTAAAAGCTCTAATGTCTAAATTCTGAGCACCGGCATCAAAAGCCGCGCTGCTCTCAACAGATTTTGCTCTCAACAAGTACCATGTGTATCTCTGTAGACGTCCTAGTGCCCAGGTCCCAGACTCTTGCTCATTCACACTGAACCTCAGCACTGCGGAATCTCCTTCATAAGCTGGCTTTTCTCAGATCGATGTCGACATTTTCATCTTGAGATGAGCGTTTTTCTAAGGTGGTGCATCTATGTAGCATCGGCACGCAACTTGTGGATGGGCCGATCAGGGCGTAAGCCGGCGGCATGAGCACGATGTTGCATTGCCGTGGCCACTAATAGTGGCAGGCGATCTCAAAGGGCGCTTACTACTGCAGGAAATGCCCGATGACACGGCGATCGGTTTTTGATCTGTTCGGGTTTTGAGTTTAGTACACGAGGCAAAGTTCTTCCATTGGTGTTCTAGGCAGGGAGATCTCTTTGGTGATGTGGATCTCGTCTTTACGTTGTATGAGTGGCACATGGTTTTTGGAGCTCAGCTAGTTGAGGTGGATACATAAGATTCAATGACGCTCATAAGGATCAGACGAGGTAGAGGTCAAGAGATTTGCTTTCAGGAGTGGTGAGGTTGGTTTGACAAGGTCGTTGGGTATCACTACGAGGCCTATAGCGATGACCTTGATGACGGCGAGCACAGCTGTTGCTTAGTGCAAGCACCTTCAGCACTGTTGCTCTTACCGCCAGCCAGAGCAATCCTTGAAAAGTAAACATTGCTGAAAGCTGGTAAGTGCATAGGTAGCACGTGACTCTGCGCGGACGTTGTGATATCTAGCATTGCAGACAATTTCTATAGAAGAAGAATGCTTTGCCTAGAACATCTGCAAGAGCATCAGAACGGGCAAAGCTCGCGTCGTCATCCTTACTGCAGTACGTAAGACAACTTTCAGAACACACTTGTTTGAATCGGCCAGGCGTGTTGGACGCACAACATGAGGGATCGACGACCAGGAAAACTCAACAACGGCTGGGTACTGTACGTACTGTGTAGATCTTGTCCAGACGTGCGGGACATGATTTGTAGATTACGGTTAAGATTGTTTCTTTACGACTATTGCCAATGACAGGAGGTTACCGGTACGCGATTCGAGCATATTTGCTCCTTCATAGGTCGAAGCAACAAGGCCAAAAAGTCTGTAGTATGGAGGTTTCTCCAATCTATAAACTTCGAACAACGCACTAATCACTCACTGTGGAATTTTCCGAGAGATAAGGTTGAGACTGCAATGATAGGTGATGGACGCATCCAAGGGACAGCAGAGGCGCGTAACAGCAGAGCCCTGCTGGACACGGTCAGTGTGGATATTTGATTTTTTCCCCAATTACCGTACCGTACTGGTACAATCTCACAGAAGAGATAGGCAATTGTATGTACTTCTTACGGTGTAGGTGCCTACAAATCACAGCAATGACGTTCACAAGGCTGTTTGTAGATAAATGGACCGTTTATAGACAACTGTGTATATTGGTTTCAATAGTATGCGTCCAATGTGATATCTCCACATCGTCCGCTGCTGTGGGGGTGCTATCGATGGACGGACATAAAGAGTGGGACAGGCGGGCCATCTCCGGCTGTTCAGATAGTACAATACCATTGTACGGTATTTTCCACAGATCGTCCCAAGACCAGGCAGCCTCTTTTTTTCTTGAAACACTGAACAGTACTCCACTGTGGGTAGGATCACACTGTAGACCAGTACCCTATACCTTTGCTGCGTGGCATCCTCGGTCTTGGTGAAGAGTGGCCAGTCACAATTGTAACAGTCATCGCCACGCATGCGCCACACTGTCAGACCACCGAAAGGCCCAGCAGAGACTCAGCCATCGTCTTTCAGTCTGGGTTGCATCGCAAAGCAGTTTCTATCTAATTGAGACGAATCAGCGGCCGCCCCATGGAAAAGCTGGAGCATCGAGCAGAGCGGCGTGACGTTGACCGGTGGTTGGACGGGGGGCTGGTTTCTATTTCCAGCCACCGGTCCAGCCGCAGACATTGGGTTCACCCCTTGGCAACTTTGGAACGGGCAGCCTCCATGCGACACCGATTGGCCATGTGCCAGGGAACTGTGGAACCGGGGCCCCGTTAGGGCTGCGACTCGAAGGCTGGGGGTGGTGGGTTGTTTGCGTACGTACGTGTACCTGTGGAGACTTTGGCCTGGTACCTTGCATTGGAAGCTGCTAGGTCGCTGAGGTGACAGGAATAGCTGAAGTAGGATATAAGGACTCAGGCAGCTCACAGTAGAAGCTCAATATCCAACAAGCACAACTTCCACAATACACTACAGCAATCAATCATCCAACGAACACCTACTTGAAACACTCGACCTTTCCCCTCAGAACCAACCCACCCTACCTACCAAAATGCAGTTTTCCATCATCTCCCTCGTTGCCGCTCTCGCTGCCTCGACCACTTCTGCAGCCTACATCCAGACAAACTACACATCCATTGCCACCCCACATGTCCCAGCTGGCACTGCGGCTCCCACAGGCAGTGCCTCACCTTCCACACCAACCTCTTCGGTTCCTTTCACCGGTGGCGCCTCTATGCCCCAGGCCATCTCTGGCTCTGCTCTCGGTCTTGTCATTGCTGGCGGTGTTGCTCTGGTAAGTTTTCACCATTCTTTCCCATACATTTGCAACTCATATTAACAATCAACAGATGCTCTAAATATTTCACACACACATACACACACTTCACCATATCTCTCATTCTTTATCTTCCCAATCACGACATTCAGGATGGTTTGTACATTGGCGCAATACGGGGAATGGGTTAATCATCACGGTGTGCGCACCAACGAACACGGCATCTGAGCGAGACCGGCGCATGAAATTATAAAAACTGCAGAGACTTTGAAAATGATTCACGACGGGAGGGGCTGTAATAATAGATAGTAAAATCATGAAGCCTACAAGGCAAAATAAATAATTCAAAATCTTTGACTACTATGAATCGTTCCTCTGGCTGCGACATTGATGGTATATGGACGGGCCGTGCGATGGCTTATGATGAAGTACAGCAAGCATCTGAAATCGAGAGTATTCCAGGATATATACCATGATGCTTGAGATATAGGTATGTTACCAGTGTTGGTAATAGGCTTTACAGTATTCTGAAAAGGCGTAGGTAGGATGTAACTCAACGGATGTCACCTTGATGGATCCACTACGAATCGTCGTGTTCGTGAGATCAGGAAGGGGATGTTAATAAGAAAACCCTTTTGATCAGAAGCGATGGAATATGCGTAGGTGTTGTGTATAGATGTGAGTCTGTCGAGTGGAGCACTTAAACGTCCCGTTTAGGATGGCGCGACATGACGCGTACGACGCGACTTGTGCAACTTCACTCAACCTCGAACATGTGCAACTCACACTACCGCTTCATAACACAGCCTGCAATAGGTTTTCTCATAGTAAACTCCAATGGAAAATTTGGACGGTGACATGCTCAAAGCCCCGCCTTCGTAAGCATTGTACACAATGACTCCTCTTCGATACAGCATATTGACAGTGGCAGTGGGGATGCGCTTTGCGCTCCACCTCGAGAGCCTTCGGCCTACAACCCTCTCCACACCTTTGACCTTCCCAAGGGCACCGATAAGCATTATGGACAACAGTTTGCAGACATGTACTTTTTGCGATTGGCGCAATTGAAGAAGTGTGTGATGCAAAAGGCGGAGGAAGCTTGGAGCGATTTCGAGGTATGCAGCAACGTGGTATACACTGGCGAAATCTAGATGGAGACTGACACATGGGAAGCTAGGTGGAGAGAAGGCAACGTTTATTGAGCGGGTGCTGGATGTACGGCAAGGAGAGCTGTGCTGGATAGTAGGGACCGTGTACATGGAGATGGCTCTGAAGCCTAACGTCTTGGACGACATATCCAAAGAGGTATATATTCAGGCTTTCCCTTTATAGACTCGACCAGCTTACATTCATTAGCACTGGATAGCCGCACCACCACCCCGCGAGACTTACGTCTCACCCAACGGTCAAGACGAGATGATGTTGGAAGATGAATCCGGTCGCCTACGCGTTACAGGAGAAAGTCTCAATTCACACTATGTAACGGGCTGTATACTGGCAGCCCTCGGCACAGAGCAAGCAGACGGCACCTTCCAAGTCATAGCAACACAGTACGCAGACCTACCACGACAGCCTGAGCGATGGGAGCGCGACGACTCGGCGTTATCGCGAGCAAACAAGCCCAAGGCAAAGCGCGGCCGTTCAGGCAAAATCGCCATTGTCTCCGGCCTCGAAATCACCGGTCAAGACGACGATGACCTCTCCCTCGATCTCCTCCTCGAATACCTCACAGGCGAAGCCACAGGCCCACCCATGCAAGCCACCGCTTCGCAAATCACCCGTCTCATCATCGCCGGCGACTCCCTCTCGCACGCCTCCCCCATCCCTTCCCGCGAAGACTTTGCCCTGAAGAAGAGCAAGAGCAAAAACTACGGCTACGACGCCTCCTCGTACAACGCCTCGCCCACCGAACGCCTCGACACCTTCCTCGCCGAGCTCCTCCCCACCCTCCCCATCACCCTCCTCCCCGGGGCCTCTGACCCCGCCAACGTCGCCCTCCCCCAACAAACCCTCCACACCGCCCTACTCCCCAAAAGCAGACTCTACGCCAATCCCCCCGCCCAAACAAACGAAACCCTGCACGGCCTCGACACCGTCACAAACCCCTGGTCCGCCGACATCGACGGCTACCGCTTCCTCGGCACAGCCGGCCAGACCGTCGCCGACCTCCTCAAATACGTCGACGACGTTCAGCCCCTCGAGGCCATGGAGATGATGTTGCGCTGGCGCTGTGTCGCGCCTACCGCCCCGGATACCCTCTGGTGCTACCCCTTTCAGGACGACGACCCCATGCTGCTCAAGGACTGCCCGCACGTCTATTTTGCGGGCTGTCAGAATCGCGCGGCGAGTAAGCTTGTAGAGGGTCCGGCGGGCCAGCGGGTGTTGCTGGTTACTGTGCCGAGGTTTAGGGAGACGGGGCAGCTGGTTGTGCTGGATATGGAGAGTTGGGAGGTCGAGGTTGTGGAGATTGGGATTGTGCGGCCGGATCAGTGAGGAGTGGGGAGATTTTTTTTTGAAGCTGTGATAGATACCCAATGTAGTTGTGTAGAATTGAGGATTCTTCTCACGTGGTTTCATGGGGGATGAGAGGGTGCGCTTCTTTTTTTTTTGACCATTTGAATTGTGTTTGGATGAGATACAGGATGCTTGCTGGGTCGAATGCGAAGATGCGAAAATGCTCATTATGTACATATTACAACTTTCTTAACAGGAGCAAGAAAAGATCAACGTCTCAAAGCTCCAAAATCTCCGTAACCTCCTCACCAGCACCAGCATTATCGTCGTCACCACCACTACCTCGAGGATACTTATGAAACGGATCTCCACCCGGGAGACACAAGCCCAACCTCCAAAAGTAATCGCGATGGGCAAAGAACAGCTGCCAAAATTTGAAGCGCGCAGGTACACCCCACGCCGATTTCCCGGCATCACCTCCAGCAATGCAGTGCGGATCCTCGTCACCTTCGCAATATCTGATGTCGGCAATGGAAGCAGGGAGGCTGCCTTCGGCGATGAAGACTTCTTCGCTGTGCATTGCATAGCCCCATTCCGCCAGAGGAAGCAGCGGCACTGGATCGCCCGCATGCGTTACGCGGTGCAGTGTATTGGCGCCATGGTGTTTTGAGATGTTGAAGCGCTCATTGATGTAGCGGTTCAGTGCCTTGTTGCCCAATCTTGGTTCGCCAAAGGTAGTGACATGGGGATTCCAGCCGCGGGCTTTGAAGTCTAGGCCTGCGAGTGTGGCGACGGCACCGCCGAGCGAGTGGCCTACTAGCACGAGTTTGTAGTTTGGATATTTTTCAAGGGCTTCCGTGACATAGGGGAGGATGGCTTTGCGCGTGTTGAGCCAGGAGGAGTAGAAGCCGGTGTGGACGGTGCAGTTTTTACATTGTGGGGGCTCAGCTGGGGGAGGTTCGTCGGCTGCGGAGTCTTTCTTTACGAAAGGTGGAAGAGGTGTGATGAAGTCTGAAGAGTCTTTCTCATCGTCGTCATCGCCTGGATACGGAACGTATTCCTGGTGAATAGTGGAGAGGTCGGCAATAGTGTTTGCGATGGAGTAAGTTCCACGGAAGGCGAGGATAAGACGGGGGTTCTTGGGAGAGTGCGAGAGTGCTATGTAGCCACAGGAATCGGAAAGAAAAGGTCCAGTGTTCCATGCCTACATGGACGCATCAGTATTGCATGCGAGTTGACACCAATGCCCTTCTCTCGACTCACCGTTACCAATTCAAACGAGTCAAAGTCGCGATCCGCGCAGCGACTCGCACACGAAAAGGGTTTCTGTATGCCCAGGCCCGCTGTGCCTACGCAATACGATATATCGACGATGCGCGCAAGCTGTTCGAGTTCCCAGAACAGGTCTTGGCTGATCAAGGAAGTGTTGCTGTTCGCGTCATGGGCTCCGCGGAGCACCTGCGATACCGGTAGAGGCACCTGGCCGTCATCGCTCCGACAACCGAGGAAGGATGCAAAGGTGGCCAAGGAATGCAATAAGAGGGTGCGGTAGGAGCGCATCAGTGTTGGCCTGTCACATATTCCTGCACACGGGTGCGGGCTGCTAGAGGAGTATGAACAGTATGAACGGGAGAGTGTTGTATGCAGCGAGGAAGCGTAAGAACCGGTACATGGATAGGCGGCGGGCGGTGAGGTCACCGGGACGCTTGCGGGTGACGCCGTGGAGAGAAGCGGACGTGACATGAGCTGATCACGTGGTCCAGGCGTGTCAGAAATGTTGGCGGGTTCTTGGCGCCAAGCCTCCCGTGTTGCATTACATCATCGGTCGGAGACCAAAAGAAGGCATATTTGACTGAATTTGAGGACGTCATTTGGTTTGAACCGTGAAATCCCCATCAACTGCTCTTTTCCGCGAGCACTATAGTCCCGTGGTGCGCTGTTTGCAAGCATCGAGTTGATCGTCTTTGCACCAGAGCTGGAACTTAAGTCACACTTTCTGCAATACAAGAGTCTCGCCACTCCGTCGGCATCCGGACAAGACTCGACCAGCGACTGCTTAATACCGCTGGCCTCCGCCCAGTATTCCTTGGACTGTCCACATTTCCCTTGGAACTTCCATCGCTAGTTAGCAGTGCAGCACATCATGGCCGCCCAGGAGTCGCCAGCCGAGATGCTGAGGCCCTCGACGCCCACGGCTACACACACGACCTCACCATCGGCATCGACATCAACGAATCAAGAAAAAACCACTCTGCAAGTCCCTGGCATCCAAATCAACGGGAACGGTGACGGCGACGATGAACGCCAACCTCGCAGCACAGAACCTCGCAGCACAACGGCTACCTTGAACGCACCCAGCGCTAACCCCAGCCGAGCACCCTCACCCAGCCTGCTCTCCCAATACCCACACACACAAGTCACATACGATGACCCCGACTTCCGCACGCCACCACCGCTTGGCTACTCGTTGCGGCCGCGCAAAAAGTCCATTTTCTGGTTCTGGACGCTCATCGTGGTCGACTGCATCTTCATGCCCATTGGCCTGTACTTTGGCATGTGGTATGGACTCTCGCGCGACCAACTCTCCGCCAACGCCGTCTTCAGTATCAGTACTGCTCTGCTCGGAACCGTATCGATTGTTGAATACTTCATTCGCTTCTACAGACTATGGAAGAAACAATCCAACTGCAGAGTCATTGGTGCGCAGCGCTGGTATCTCGATTGGTTCCACTGGAATCTCTCCTTTGGATGGTTCTTCGTCATGATTGAACTCATTGCGTAAGTTTCCACACAACATACACACGTACCATCCCGCAGATTTAAGAGACAGAGAGACTAACCCACCACTAACAGCGGCACTTGTCCCCACGACCCCCCCATCCGCGTCCTCGCCATGCCCGCAGCGACCATGCTCTTCGTCATCGGCTGCCAACTCCTCCTCATGGACGTCCTGCGCATCATGAAAGTTCCCGCTCCATGCCGCATCTCATCGCTCCCTGTCGGCGCGCCCCTCCGCCCCGGCATCTACGCCTACATCGAAGACATATGCGCCGTCGACGGCTCCGGTGGCACCGAATTCCGCCAGCGCTTGAACCTGCGCTACCAGGCGAGCAAGCACTTCCGCGAGATGCTGCACCGACAGACGCTATTCTGGGCGATTGGCGCGATTATCTGTTCGGCGGTGACGACTGCGATTGTGTTCACAATTCAGAGGGATGCGGCTTATGTGGTAGGTTTTATCTATTTCCCCCCTCTCCCACTAATTTATGGATCCTTCATGGACTCCTTAATAAGGGAAAATTGGAAGCTGACGTTTTGACTAGGTCGGTTGGGTCCTTCCTTTCCTCTGGGCAGGCATCTGGACCGCCATCACGATCCCCTGGGTCCAGCGCGAACTCAAAGTCGAATACGAGCAGTGGACTACTGCGAATTTCAAGGCTTGAGTTTGATTTCCTTTGCCATGATATATTCGCTTTTTACTTTTTACTTTATCCGCCTTTTATAGCTACCAACTGAAGAAACCCGCACACTTTTAAAACATTAGCCTGTACGCGTATTTTATTTTATTTTTTCAAAACTTACAGACGATTATTTCTTTCTGGTTGAAAAGTGGGGAAAGACTTGACTTTGGGTATGGCGTAGGAATATATACACCGGACCATGCAAATTGGAGTATGCGGAACTGGGAATTTGAAACTGGAAACCCCGATTACATTCACCATGGCGCTGGCGTTTCTTTTCTTTCAGCAAGGAAGGGAATTGGAAGCACTTGCGTCGTACATTATGTCATATATCATCTCCCTTTTTTTTTTCTACATCTTTAACCACACATCTTATCCCACGCCTTGTTGTTATGTTTAATCTAGATACCACTATAGCTACCCTGATGGTTAATCATGACTTGCACGCAATCGGATATTTTGAATTCAACCCCCCTTGCTACGTTCAATGTTAACACGCCTTGTCCTTCTCATACCGCATCCTCGGTTGTTTTTCTGCGCGGGCTAGCTTTGCAACTGAATGTCAATTGACAGTATATACTGCTGTTTACTACGTTGGATTATCTTCTCACAGTGCGATGCGATGCGATGCGGTGCGGTGCGGTGCGGTGCAGTTGAATACGTGGATGCTTGCCTTCTAGCCTCATGGCTTGAGCGTTTTAGGACGTTAGATGATTGTTTGGATTGTGGTGAGGAGATAGGTGCTAGATGTGCTTGTTTTAGAGTTTTTAGGTCTGTGGAGGTGTGCTGGATGGTGTGGAATCAGTGACATGACGAGGGGGGTTTGGTCGTGTGGTTTACATGGGTTGAATAAAACACGGAGCGGGTTGAGAGTACAGGGTGAGATGATGTGGGGAAAAGACGGGTGAACTGACCTGAGAACGCCTGCTGTAGATACTTAACAGAGAGAGGGCTTGGCTGGTGTGTCATGAATAACACATACAGACCATTCAATCATCACAAGGGCATTACAATCATTACAATAGCTCCACATCACATTCACGCATCTGCGCTGTCCTGACTCCGCCCCTCAACACGGCGACCAAGTCAGCGGCTCCCTCCCTCCGCTCTCCTCGCTGTCGCGACTCTGCATTCCCCCCTCTCCATCAGCGGCATCCTCGGCCGTACAACTCAGCCGCGACCGCGGTCTAGTACCGGCATTCGCAATAACCCACTGAAACGCCAACCTCGCGGCATCCGCGGCCCTCTGATCCACCAGTTGTGTAAAAACCGCGTCCGGGTCCCGCCGATACGGCTCATGATTGCCAATGTGGTAGCGCGGCCAGTCGCCCCAGGAGGTGGCACTGCAGTTGACACAGATGGTGCCGTAGAAATCTAGGGTTGTGCCTTCTTGCTCTGCTCGATAGCTCAGGCCACATGTGGGACAGACGTGGCAGTAGCGGACTTGGCGGCCTGTGAGGGTGCGGCGGGCGTGAATGAGGCCGTAGGGGATGGCGGAGAGGATGGCGGAGGTGTGGCAGTCTGGGCAGAGGATGTGGTTGCAGCGGTTGCAGCGGAGGTGTTTGAATGGGAAGGCGCCTTTGTAATGTCGGAGAATGTTCTCATGTCGACAATGGGAACATAGCCATAATCCGTCTCCAATGTCTTGGTCTGTCCTTAGGGCTCGTAGGTTGGGATAGTCGTTTTCTTTGATTAAGTAGGGCTCAGTGGGTGGCTCGGCTGGGACGGTGGAATCGAAATCCTCTTGTAGAGTGAGGGGACCAGAACTCGTCCGCGGTGGTTTGGTAAGCTTTTGATGTGCAGTCGGAGATCTGGAGGGTGGACTTGGAAACTTTGGCTCAGTCTTTTCGAACAGGCTACTCAGTCGCGATGTTACGGCCAAGGAGAGACGTTTTGGGTGAAGAACGCTGGGCTTGCGCTGTACGTCGTTCATGATGAGTTGCAGCTGTGGAGTGTTTCATGCAACTGCAGCGATGGATAGAGCCAGATGCAGTTCAAAACGGAGGTGAGGAGTGTGGGGCATGTGATCTGCTAGTGGAGAGGCTCCGCTGGGTTGATAGAATGGTAGGATATGTGGAGACGATGAGAGTGCATCTTTGATATCATGTTGTGGTGGAGGTGCTCAAGTGCAGTGATTGCGATGTCGCAGTCAGGGTCGTGACTTCGATTCACTGCCAGACTGCGCCTAACCCGGGGGTAAGAACAACAGAACCATGCCTCTCACCTGCTTTTCAAGTCTCTGCGTCAACAGAATGCTGTGTCAGTAGTCGGTAATAGAACACGACAGATTTCGCTTCGTACAAGGTGTAATCCACAGAACCTATCCTGCATCGCTTTTTACCTTTGCTTTGACCTCTGCACCGGCTGATGGCCATGAAAGCTTGGTCATACTTGCTGTTTGCTGTCATGAATTGGCAGCAAACGACTTTTATACACAAAACCTGGCGACCTATCGGGCTCTATGTGCAGATGGCGGTTTACGGTCTGCTGTCGTGAGGGTGAATATGCATAGGTACCGTAGGGTATGGCTTCCTCTGGAATCAAGTGCACAACATCGATAACTGCAAGCTTCTGACATTGTGACCGCGACGAGCAGTTCGGCTCGATTAAGAGATAGTAAGAGATAGTAAGAGATAGTGGTGTAGGATGTACGGTAAGTAGGAGTCAAAGTCAACAGTGCACCGAGTACCGGTAGACGAAGCCGCCATGACGTTGTCTACCGACATCCCTGGTCACGAATCAACTGCTGACCAACCCAGGCGTTAGCGCGCAATTGGGAAACTGTCCTCAACTCGCGTGCTGATGCCTCACGTTTCACGTCTCACTCCAAGTTGACTACAGCAACACAGCAGCCATCATGATCCAGGCTATGCTACAGGTAAGACTCGCCGAATGCAAGAAACCCACCACCAAGCGCCTAACTAACACACACACCACAGCGCCTTGCGCGCTTCCTAGACAGGCCTTTCTTTCCATGGAAACATTTCGTAGTCGGCTTCTCTCTCGCTGAATTCGCTCTCGAAAACTGGCTTCTTTTCCGCCAATACCGTGTCCTCCAACGTACCACTGTCCCCAAGGCTCTCAACAAGGAAATCGATCAGGAAACATTTGATAAATCTCAGGTCCGTACACATGTCTTTGTCCCATGTCCCAAACACCCCCGCCGCCAGTCATATACATTGTTCATGGTAGCTGACGTGCAAGTAGAAATATGGTCGTGCAAAGGCAAAATTCAGCTTCATCTCCGGAATCTACAACCAGATTAAACACATCGCTACCATCTACTTCAACCTCTACCCCTTCGTTTGGAGCGTCGCTGGTTCCGTCATTGCCCGCTATGCGCCCATGCGCTTCTCGGGCGAGATAACACAGTCGCTACTCTTCATGTACATGCTAGGATGGATTGATCTCGTCCTCGGTCTCGGGCTGTCCTACTATCACACCTTTGTACTCGAGGAGAAGTTTGGCTTCAACAAGAGCACCGTGCAGCTATGGATCACAGACATGGTCAAGGGCCAGGCTCTCGCAATCGTCTTCGGTATCCCCATTGGCAGCGCCTTCCTCTCCATCATCAAGCGCACCGGCCAAAACTTCTTCTACTACCTCTGGGTCTTCATGCTCGTGGTCCAAATCTCGGCCATGACCATCTACCCCATCATCATTGTCCCCTTGTTCAACAAGCTCGAACCCCTCAAGCCTGGCAAACTCAAGGAGGACGTCGAGGCCCTCGCTTCCAAGCTCGAGTTTCCACTTTCCGAACTCCAAGTCATTGACGGTAGCAAGCGCAGCGCACACAGCAACGCCTACTTTACGGGACTGCCGTGGATCGGCAAGAAGAAGATTGTCATTTACGACACGCTGCTTGAGAAGAGCAATGAGAAGGAAGTCGAGGCTGTCCTGGCACACGAACTCGGTCACTGGCAGATGAACCACACGTCCAGACTGCTCTTCATTGGCCAGGCCCATCTATTCTACATGTTTGCCCTCTTCTCCGTCTTTGTCAACAACAGGTCCTTGTACGCCGACTTTGGCTTCCACCGCGAACAGCCCACCATCGTTGGCTTCATGCTGTTCAACGAGATTCTCTCGCCCACCGATTCCATCCTGAAGCTCCTGATGAACATGTGGACCCGCAAGATGGAGTATGAGGCTGGTATGTCCTATGTCCTATCTTACTACCGTGTCCATTTCCCACAGCTAACCTCGCATAGATGCCTTCGCCGTGAAGCTCGGATACACAAACGAGCTTGGCTCCTCGCTACTAAAGCTCCAAATCCAGAACTTGTCGAGCATGGATGCCGATTGGCTGTACTCGAGCTTCCACCACTCGCACCCAATCTTGACGGAGCGCTTGAAGGCTATGAACTGGGTTGGCGAGAAGAAGGTGGTGGAGGAGAAGGCTGCGGACGAGGAGAAGCCTATCAAGGCTTCTGATCGGGAGTTGTAGAGGCATTCTTTTTTTTTCGGCTGGCGTAGTGAAACCTGTTTCCATCTCATGTGGTGAGATTGTAAAAAAAGTTGTGGTTGAATTAGCATCGTGGTTTGTGTCGCTCTCCCCGATTGAAACGCCGTACTCCCATGCAATGCTCCCAGGTATCACAAGAAAATGAGGAAACTCCCCAAGCAAACACAGACTAATCCGCCTTCTTTGCCTCATTCTCCCTCTTCCTCTGCTGATCCCTCTCCTTTTTCGCCTTCTTCCTCGCCTCCTTATCCATCTTCCCTCCACCATCCCCCTTTCTCTTCTTCGCCTCCTCCCCCAACCCCGTATCCCGCACCTCGGGCTCCACCCCACCCCCAACAACACCATTCGTCCGATCCCCCACCTCCCCAATCACAAGCCCCTCTTCCTCCTGTGCCGCAACTTCTCTATCCTGCCACCCTTCCCCCTTCTTCCCCTTGCCCTTGCCCTTGCCCGACCCCTTCACCGCGCCCCATTCACCACCACCATCCTCCCCCTCCTCCTCCTCTTCCGGCTCCGGCGTCCCCTCCGGCTCCAAATACTCCCCGTGCAGTCCTGCTGCCACGCGCCGCAGATTATGCAGCACGACGCCGCCCGCGGGCCCGCCGTGCGAGGAAAAGGTGACGCCGGTTGGGGTGATGAGCGCGTCTGGGTGCAGGTGTGCGTGTGCTTCTGTGTTGCGGAGGTAGGTGTCTAGCATCAAAGATGCTGCGGCTTGGGAGATTGGCGTCGAGGAGATGTGGCGGCTGGGTGGGGGGGCTTCGAGAGTTGCCATGGTGCTTTATGATTTTTTTTCTCCACTTTCAAGTGCTAGTGGTTTTGAGTTTTGGAATTGTGCGGGGAGGTGTAGACGTAGAGCACGTATATGGTCTGGTGGAAGGGTATAGAGTGTATGCAAGTTTGTCTGTGTTGGTTGGCGATGCGACCAGAACTTTTTGGAAGCACGGGCCATGTCGAATTCGTTAGCTCCCCAATTGTTCTCCCGTGGAAGATGGAACTTCCTCATCTCGTCGAGTGAACATTGAGCTTGCGACTCCACAGCCAGTCTCTCCGGACCCAATCCCATCGTCGGGCATAAGACACGAGGAGCGCTAGACTCGTCGACTCGCCAATCAAAGAAAAAAGCCATCATGAATACATCAAAATGCCTCCGCCTCCTGGCGCGCCAAACAACACACAGCGCAACCACCCCCCTCAGACCAACCCTCCCCCACACCCCCTTCTCACAACGGTACCTCCCCTCCTCCCCAAATATCCTCTCGCCCTAACAACTCCCCATTCAATCCACCCTACCACGTTACGGATCTCCAGGACGAGGATACGTATGGAAGCGCAGATTCTCAGCTTGAACGTGTTGCTTTTGGAAAAGGAGGCTATTATGCGAAGCCTGTACCCATTAGGATATCAAAAGCTCTGGGAACACTTCCGCCTCTACTCATGGAAAACCCAATGAATCTTCTCTACTTCCACCACTTTCTCAACCACACAGCTCGCATACTGGTCCCGCATGACTGCGAAAGAAATCCGTTTCGAC